CCCCCCCCCCCCATCACCGCAGTACCCGACCGCCACTGAACCCGCGCACACGATGCGTAAAACGCAATTAATCGACGGACGAAGTCTGATCGGTATTGTCGTGCGCGCGTATTGGTAACTGACGTTGCAACATAACATCGCGCGAGCCGACCGCCGGATTCGATATTATTATCCGCGCATATCTCGCAACGTTCAATGTTTACCTTACGGAATGTTTCCGGTCAGATAAACCGTTCTACGATTAATAAATTCTTCACGTTTCAGACTCAACGTTGGTACGAATTCGCAAAGCTAGGCCATTTTAAGAGACGGCTGTCTCATCTTGTTTACGTTAAATTATCCGGAAAAAAAAACCAACCAAACAAACAAACAAACTAACTTGGGTCCGAGTCAATTTTGAACCGTAAATCAATTTGAATTACTACCTAGGAAACGTTGCAAACGTTCAGGAAAATAATAATAACTTAAGTCCACTCATTTATATAAAATAACCATCAAAAACACGCGCAACCATATTTTGCGCTTGCCGAATGGAAAATGACTATTGTTTATCTTAGTGCGGTATGGTATAATGCATTAATAAAACTAGACTCGTTATAATTCACTGATAATAACCCTGTAGACAGAATTTAAATTTCAATCAAATAACTTGGTTGAGTCAGAAGTTATCAATAAAACCAGCTGCCCCGCGCCCGGCGTTGCCCGCGCCAATTTGTATTGTTATTGTTTTACCCGTGTTCATTTTCGGTTTCGGCCGTGTTAGAATCGAATGAAAGCGAATAGGTGGAAAGTGGGTAGTCCACCTTCGGCTGACTAAACGTGTTCTATTGTGAATTTCGATTAGTGTAAATAATGATTACAATAGTTTCCTTTTCCGTGGCAACCCTCGGATAAACAAAAATCTTATATAAACGAAACAAAGTCGGGCAAGTTACGGCATTTACAACTCAAGAACGGCCGAACCGATTTTGATGATCGCGCGATATTTTCCGACTAATTTCTAATAACAATCAATCGCCGTGCTTTTGCGTCCCTGTTACCGGGGTAACACGAATCAACAAAAAAAAAAATTCTATTTATCGTGTAATAATCTAAATTGTTCGGTGTTGCTCGTGTACATATACTCGTATATATATAAACGAAAATACTAAAATCGCGATTGAAAACAATAGTGGGCGGCGGTAGGAGGGTGAAAAATACTTTACGATCTACTCTCATGCCTACCAAATGTACAAACGAAATTTCATTAAAATCGGTCGTGCAGTTTCGGAGGAGTGTGACGACCACCGATACGTGACACGACAATTTTATATACATAAGAAATAACTTTTATTTGTTCAACTTGTATAAAGTTTTCTTCTCCTAAAAGACAAATAAAAAAAAAAAAAAAAAATGACCGAATTAAAACTGATCGAACCATTTGTTACGTGCCATACCTACCATTTGAGTGCGTCGAGAAAATTACACCTAAATTCTCGGAAAGAACAAAAAGAAGTTTACAATGGGCGTCCGGGAATCGGGCCGCAACAAACCTTTTTTCAATAATGTATACGGTAATTGGGCCGTTAAAATTTTATATTTACAGCGGGTAGACCCGGTAATTGGGCCACTATTTCAAACGATTTTTTGTTATTGAATCCGGTGATCGGGCCGCTATATTTTAATATATTTTCGGATTTGACAAAAGGCAAACCACTATTTTACGCGACTACGTTCAATTATTTCAAACCGCGTTATTATTTTTCCCGCGATTACAAATTCGAATTTGTTATGTTCGTTAGAATCGATTTGTGTCGACGGTACTTTTGAATACTGCGCAAAGCAACCTGTATCGCATTATTTTCAAAAAAAATCAATAATTGTTCGAATAATTTTATGTTGTATTCAATACCATTTATTTCAATATATTTGAAATAACACATTTTTTTCGTTATATATCTGTAGCCCAATATCCGAGTAAAAAATGTACAAAAATATTGTTTACGAAGCAGGTAGATAAAACCGATTCCCGAACGCCCGTTAAAAAAATATCTGTTGGTTTTCCATTAAACAATTCCCATAAAAATTCCATATCGAATATTTAAGTATTTTTTTGAATATTACCTCGGGGCTGACCGGAAATATAATAATACGCGTCCGTGTGTCGAAAACTCTTAAACTGCATAAATAACAATTGAATAAAACATTTCTATCAAAATTGATTTATTATCTACTCGTGCTGGCCTTTTGAGTGTAGACTTCTTGAAAACGAGTAAAATTTATAGACCACGTCATTTTTCATTTCGGTTGACGTCTTTTTTCTCTAAAGAGTCCTTTTACCGGGAAGTCGAGTCGTACTAATAAATTAGCAAAAATTGCAAAAAACGCGAATGAGAACCCAAACGCATGCGTTTAATATTTTGTTATTTAAACAAATTGGAAAAATATCGTCGTTCTGAAAATTGATATTTCATGTTTGTTTTTGTAAAATATTCTAATTAAATGTTGAACAAATCTTTAGTGGCTTAAGAGAAACTCTCACATAATACATTTTTTTTTTTTTAAATTAATTTTCAAAATATTCTTATTTTTATCGGGTCGATGTCGAATGTTTATATTTTACTCTGTTATAATTTGTGTCATACTTTTTTTGGTAAATTGATAACTATTTTGGTTGTTTAAACAAAATCATAAAAATCATTACAGGAATCAAGAGCGCTCACAGGATAATAATTTTCAGATGAAGGACAAAATGAAACTAGATTCCGAAACCTATTTATAGCATATAGATACTGAATTGGTATTTCTTGAAAAGGAATGAAAAAGAAAGGGTATGCAATTAAGTAAACATAAGCTTAGTGATGAGCAAAAGTCTATGGTTATTGTAATATTAGACAATATCGATAGTTAATATTAATAAGTATTTAATTATCATATGTTTAAACGAAATCGGTGTTAACAATAAACAACCAATCATTAGAAATAAAAACAATTTGTTCTTATCATCATCGATATAAATATTATAATAAAAATGTATTGTGATGGATTTGATGATTCGCAGCATATACAATTTGTTTTTTGGGACATTTTATTATTTTCTTTCGAATATTCATTTCATTCAAAATGACGTTAAAATTGCCTATACTCCACACCTTAAATACCGGCTAGCGTGCGAACCGCAAAACTTCGGAACATTGAATGCGCGACAAGAAAAAATAATATATCAGCTGTACGTATTATTCAAATTATTCAGATTTCCTGATAAATTGTTTTTATGCGATCCGGTGGACGCCCAGTGGGCCGCAATAACCGCACAGCGGAGATTCCCAATGATACCTGTCCGTTAACGTCCGGATTGGATAGCCATAAAGAAGAAAAAAAAACGATTACGGACCACCGAAATGGAAAAACAGTATTGCCAAGGCCACAAGGCACGCTCGTAAATATTCCGCAACCAATATTATTATAATTATTATAGTTTATCGACCGATAGGTTATGTCTTGGATTAGGATCACTTGCAATGTATAGGTACTGCGAATATGATTCAGGTAGGGTGTGGCGCTGTGTCTACGAGGAAATAATGTGCAATGTGTGTATATCGTTAGCCACACTGGCCCATCGATTATTTTTAAATATGCAAAAACAATAAATTAGGTAGCTACCTATTCGAAACACAATTTTTCCTTAGCATTACAAATTGATATAAATGGCATGCAATTTAATCATCGGAGAGAAAATTAGAAAAAAATAACTGTTGTGGGTGGGAAGTTTGGAAGGCATACAGTAAAAATTAATTTAGTTTATGTATTAAAAGCAACGATAAATCATTGTAATAAAAAAAACATTCTGAGAGGAGCTCGATGAATTGCCAAGGTAGCCCAAAAATCAGTAAAAATAATTCTCTCTCTCTCTCTCTCTCTCTCAGCTTATTTTACTCTCGTCGGAATAACACTTTTTTGAGCCGTAAAAATAATTGAAAAGTTTTTTCCGGCAACTTTACGGATAAGTTTTAAAATATACACACCCCTGTAGCCTTCGAAAAACAACGACGTTGATGTCATACATGTTTTTAACTAAATCAATTAGTTGTTTTAAAACTATACCCGAAGTATGCAGTACTGCGGAACTCTACTTAAATTCGATTTACGAATGATTTATCGGTTTTTTAATAATAAAACAAAAAAAAAACCTATTGCATTTGGTCAAATCCAATATTTAATTTCTTAACTATCGAAATGCGATTGATTCGCATGGTAATATTATGTTATTAGACGTACTTATCAAATAGTTTTACAAAGCATTTATGTCATTCAATAAACATTCCGCACTTCCCATCTACAGCAGTGGCATACAGTGAACTATGTCTGGTTCCTTTGTTTATAATTATTTCTGTCACGTATGCAATTATAATTATCACCGACTCGTAAAATATAAATAAAATATGAGAATTAATTAAATACCAAATATTAATCACTTGCTAATTTTAGATTCCGAGCGTAGCCAGGGAGCTATTGGTTTTACGATGCTGTTTATTTCTTTTTTTACCCTTGTTCTTTGTTTTTACTCTAGAAGAGGCCATTTTTTTAATTTTTTACGCTATTTTTTAAATAAAAGCACTTAAGTGGGCAAAAACCATGGGAAAACGTAAAATTTTACGATTTCGTTATTTTATAAAAACACGGACGACGTTTTCTACCAGAAAAAATGATTGAATCGAAAAATCACAAGATACATTTTTTTTTTGTCTTTTTGATTTACTTTCTTATGATACCGTCGCCTAAAACTTTTGAGCCACTTTTAAGCTTTTAAAAACTTTTAATTTTTGGAAGTTTTTTGCTGTAATTCGGTTATAAATACACGTAGAGTCTTGAAACTCATAATACTCATATTGGACTTTCCTAAACGTGGTAAAATTTCCAAAATCATCAGTCGACTTTTTTTTTTTTTTTTTTTAATGAGAGTTTTGAAATCAAATTTAAACGAAAATCGCAAAAAAAAATTATGGCACTTCAAATTATGTATTACCGTACTGCGCTCGAAATCATCTTTCACCAAGCAATGGTTTATCGTTGGTTACAAATATAAATGAAATGACCTTATGCATCTTACCTTCCCAACTTCTCACTTACAACAGTGATCGTTCCCATCCCCGGTATCAGCTCTTATTTTAAAAAATTATATATATATATATATATATATATATATTTAACTTAAACGTAACCTTAATTAGCATCCATTTACGGTAGTAAAAAGTCATTTACCGTATTGATTACTCTGAATATGAACACCTATGATCAATTTTTTTCTGAAAATATCTCGGGATGAAATCTGAAGAGTTCACGTTTTTTAAAAATGTCATCATCGTTGAATAGTGTAAAACAAAACAAAATCCATCTAATATTCCAAACTACGATCTTTAGTCAATCAAACGAATCATTCAATATACATTTTATGGCATTTAAAACGCATTTCATAAATTTAAAACCATTGCGTATTCAATATAATAAATAGGTAATGATGTGTATCCGATGGAAATAATTTTTGACTATTTTTACACGGTTTATTTGCATTTTATTATATTATGGTTAAAACGGACCGTCGAAACGTGAAACCGATCACACGGAAAACTTCTAATTACTTGTATATTTAGTATTTTACGTAAATTGTGAATTTTCCATTGTACTTTGTCAACGCTGTAAAACACACATCAAACGGATTTCAATTTTAATAGCCGGATACATTTCACATCGTGGTTAGGCCATTTTATAGAATAAAAATTAATTCCGTGTACATATTGAAAACAACGATTTATTTGTTTCAACGAAATTTTCGCATTCGAAAAACGATTCTAAGCAGAGCCCGGTAAACTGGTATGGTTACAGTGTTAGTCGTGTGTTCGGTTCATTCGCACGTCACCGACTCCCGTATTGCCCACATCCCATTTCGCCGACTCCTATTTTGCCGACAACATTTTCTTTTGTCAATACTTACTTGTGACGTACGTTGCTTAAAGTATACGCACTCACGACTCCATTCCACTAAAGGTCATAATAAAATAACTTATTTCCGTTGTCATTCTTACGGGGGGACTACATTAATTTTCTTAAATTGTCACTCTACAAAAATTAATTTATGAAAGCGATAATAAAAATAATATTGACCATCTACATGACCGTTGATCACCTATTGTATATTGTCAATGGCTCGTGTATGTCCGATAATACTAAATGTATATATTTACTTTAGCTCATGCCGCGATCGCGGCGCTGGAATTTCTTTAGCAATAATGGTTTTGTTGCGACAATAATATTCCAATTCAAAATGATAATACGACAGATATGTGTGACGGCGAAACGGGAAGAATTTCAATACCTTTATAAAACTGGTTCATCTGTCGGCGACGCGGGCAGCCACGGTTTGTTCGGTTTAATAATTACGTTCCGAATAATAATGTACCCGCGGAAAATCCGCACCGTTTCAGGTAAATAGCGGGGAAATTGTTTAGCACATTTATTAATCGAGTAATAATGGTGTGATGTAAAAAAAAACACGTACGCTTATTTGTCGAACCAATATAATCCGCAATCGCATAAAAAAAAAAAAAGTATTATGTCATAATACTCGTAGACCGACATTTTAACTTTTTCTAAGACGATCATCATCAGCGCACCCTAATGTTAACGTCACTAGTCTCGAGACAAAGATCAACACTAGTCACTCGGAACTAATAAATCCAGATGCATATCACGGGAGAGTCATTACTATATCGTTAGGATCATCGAAGGTTCATAATACTCGTATACTGTCCCCGGCGCATACCTACACACCGGCACAACGACCTTAGAAATTAAAAACCTTAGAGATGAATATATTATAATGCTTACGACGAGACAACGAACCACAACGAAACGGTTGAATGATTATCGCACTGGAGCGGATTGACATTGTTCATTTTGTTCTTATGTTTTTTGGTACGGTCCGATGTAGGAATAATAAATTAGTTTATAGGTTATCTTAAACACGTTCGATAGGCAGGCAGATTGAATAAATATTATTGCAGTACATAATTACAATATTATAATAATTATTTATTATAACCGTTAACGAATACGAGTACCTACATTTTTTATCCAGTGTTTTTTTTTTTTTATTAACAATGAATAAGTATAGGTGTCGAACGACAGTTATTAGTTAAGTCGAAGTTATTCGGCTCCAACAAGCCGAGTTTTTAAAGTTTTAGGGATTTTCGTTGGCTATTTATTATTTTTACCAGTAAATTTATATAGCCTTATTACTGTTAAGGTGATTGTCAGAAGGGACGATTTTCTGGTTTTGTCTAACGTATATTATCTTGCGCGTTATAGGAATTGAGATCTATAGTTAACCAATAAGAATCCAAAATCAGATTTGAATTTTTCGTCAAGTCTACTCGATAACGACTTAATTACCATAATTGAAATTTTTGTAAAAAAATATATGTTAAACATTTTAAAATTCTACTTTGTATTTTTTATTAGTTTTTCAATTTTTTATGTTGGACATAAACACGGCTAGATTCCTATACTGCGCATGTGTAGATTAAATCAGAAAATCATTGCTTATGTCAAACCTAAATTGTATAAATATCAATCTTATTATCTCACGAAATATAGTATTCCTATATTATGATTATTAAAAGAAACAATGTAAGACAATTTTTTTTTTCTCAATTATTAAAAAAGCTACAAGGAAAATCAACAAATTACCCTTCCAATGTATCAACTAAACAAAATTTTCTATTAGAAATTACTCCTAAAGTTGATGATCGGTGCCAGATTTCTAATAGAAAAGTTGTTAACAGATAGAAAAAATATGCAACATTAGTGTAACATGATTAGAATTTTATTTTAATGCTTATACCACTGCACTTTTATTTTTCTAAAACTTATTCGGTAATCGAATTATGATAAATATTATAAATACTATTTGTGCATTATATACTATTAGTAACGGGAAACTACACCAGATTTTGTAATATCTGTTTGTCTATCGTGCAAAACTGCAAACGTTTGTTTTCAAAGTTCCAAGAGTACACCGGTTCTAATCGACTATAAACAAAACATATTTCACCGAATTAAATAAAACAAAACATTAACATTGTTTTACTAAAAGATTTTTTATGATTCAGTTGTCAAAATAGTAAAAAAAGGAACCATTACGTTTTCGTCATGTTTGTCCGTACGTCACAGGTTTATAATAAATCTTCCCGTTGAATTTGATGGAACCATACAGAAATTTGTTTTATGTAAACGGCCTTACAATTGTATATCAAGCCAATAAAAAATTAGAACATTTATATGTATAGAAATATTTGTATGAAACTGAGGGTAAAACAAATATTTTTATTTCACATCGTATCATAAGTAACGATATTTTTTCGATTTCTAATCAACTATCTGAAAATAAAAATTCGAACTTTGTGAACACATAGTAAAAATGTTATCACCATAAATTGAATGAAATGATATGTATCTAGTATCTACCGTTGGATATATTTTTGTTACATTGTCCCGGTTTTTATTACTTATACCTAACTAATGGAAAATACCAGCGCAGTGGGATGCCCTTAAGTTTTTATGTATACTCGTTTAAATATACGAAAACATTTGAATTTAAAAATAACAGATTAAATTATATATATATGCTTATCTATGATTAAAATAATCTGTATATAACACTAAATTCAAGTTAAGGGTGTATAAGTATTACACAAATTATATCTAACTCTTTTTTTCATTTTTTTTTTTTTTTTTTTTTTTTTTTAATAAGAAAAGGCTATATCTGCGAAATAAAAATATATAATACATAATCATATATACGCGCGATAGTAGAATAAATGCGACAATAAAATAGGATTTAAGTGTCGTAAAATGGCGTGAAAACTATAGTTTTTATTATGAAAATGTTTCCTACCCGAGAATAATAATATTTTTCTTTATTATAAAGATATATATATTTGTATATAAATGGCTATTTTTGTACGTAAGTATGCCATTATTTCTGAAGTTGTATCTGTGTATTATTCAATTTAATATAACCATATATATATATATATAGATATGCATATAAATATATTATACCTACGTAGCATAGACTCAACGGTGTAATGATAACGTACACTTATGCGTTTAAGTTGTTCTTCTTTTTGTGGACATTACAAAAATGATATGAGAAAATGCTATCTGTGGAGTATAACGTTATATTGTGTAACATTTTCAGATACCTAGGTAATTAATTGTCTACATGCATTTATACAACGAAAAGTCACCGAAACGTTATCTCTACACGAGCTGGTAGGATGATGTTGATGATCTATAGAAGTACCAAAAATATAAATTAGCCAACTGTTGAATGTGGAAAATTGGGAAAATATGATATATTATATATTACGGTCATTTAGTTTATATTTTGCAGTTTACAACGGAAAACAGTTCTGATCGGAGTTCGGTCGAACATTTTTTGATAATTTGAAATTGATAATTCTTTTGAACATGAGGCATGAGACGCTTATCATGACATTACGGATGATAATATATTTTAAATAGAAAGAAAATAGTGTAACCATTAGTAGTTGATGCAACATTATTAGGGAGTTAAAAAATTGACTTTCGGAAAAGGTGCCATGCTTATACATGGGAGTAAGTTTTCTAGGATAAAAGTTGTCTACGGTGTATTTAGTATCATTGTAAAAATTTTAAAAAAGGAATAAAGGTCGTCCGATGATTTTAGAAATTTTATCACGTCTAGGTAATGCCAATATAAGTATTATTACCAAGTTTCAAGTTTCTACGTGTTTTTATAACCAAATTACAGAAAAAAAACTTCCAAAAATTAAAAGTCCTTAAAAGCTCAAAAGTTGTAGGCGATGATACCGTAAAAAAGGTAAATTAAAAAGCAACAATAAAGGTATTTTGTGATTTTTCGATTAAATCATTTTTTTTGGTAGAAAACGTCATCCTTGTTTTTATAAAATAATGAAATCCCGAAATGGTACGTTTTCCTACGTTTTTTCAAAAAATGACCTCTTTAAAGTACCATATAGACCAATTGAACTTTCAGAAAAGTCGAAATCGTAATCGTAAAAATTAGAGTAAGTTTGCTAGAAAAAAAAGGTGTCCGCAGACTAGAAAAAAAAAATAAAATAAACAACTTAGAAAAACTAATAGCTTCTTCGCTCGGAATCTAAAATCTTAAGAAAATCAAAAAATTATTGGATCACTTTAATACATTTTTTACAAACAGAAACAGCACAACATAATTTAATCAATACATATCTCACTTCGTACAGATTCCGATACTAAAATTAAGTAAAATAAGTGTCATTTTTAATATTATTATAACTTGTCTATATATTGGATCAGAGTTGCAAAGTGTTTTAAACAAGTATCTACGTTTGAAACGTTTTAAGTGTCCAAAATTATTTATTAAAATAAAATAACTAATATGTTTCTGAAGATATTTATAAACAAGTAGTTCTTATTCATTCTTGAAATGAAAAAAAAAACCGTTCCTAATTTTTTTATCAATCGTTATTTTGCTCTTCAATAATAATGATAACAATTGATTTATATTGGCTTTCATTAAACTATGATTTAAAAAAAAATAATAATGTTTAAAACAAAAAAAAAAAAATTTTTATAATATAAACATTTCTTACAATTTTTTTTTTTTTTTTTTTTTTTTTGAAACCCTGGAGCCGACAATTCGACTGTAATTGCATTATATTGCGCACAAATAATACATTGTTTTGAAGCAGCTACGTAAACCGTCCATCGGAATTCATTCTACAATACATTACTTAAATTTACACAACCAACAAACTGGGAGAATAGTATTACCATTAAGCGGTCGCATTATATTATCAGAACTGTAAGCATTGTTTTGAAATTCTCGTCAAAAAATATCTGGTGAAGGGTATTATTATTATTATTATTATTATTATTACTATGTGAAATGACTCGAAACCTTTCCCTTATTCCTTTGTTCACCGCATCAGGCGGCTGGTTGAAAACTTGGTACCGCATAATACGACACGACGTATAAACCGACTTTTTTTTCTAATTAAATAACAAACGCATTATAAAAAAAAAAAAAAAAAAATCATCTAAATCTAAAATCAAAATTTTATCCAAGGCGAAATAACTATTTACACACACATAATACTTTACAACAGGACAAATCACACAGCTCAACATTTATTTCATTCTAAACTACCTATCTACAATTTAATATACATTTTTTTTTTAAAAAACATAGTTATTCTTATGCTATATCAAAAATAATCTGAAATATTATTACATTTTTAAATCTCATGACACAAAATATAGATTTTTTTTTTTTTTATGTTTGCTTAAGGGTTATTTTGATTTATTCGAAAAGTCCCGGAGTATAGTCATATTTTTTCATTCGAACTATTTTTCCCCTGCGAGTTGTGATTATTTTAAACGTTTAAACGACCTACTAAAAGTATGCGTAAATAACGAACGATGAATTATACGTCTCGGTAATTATTACACGACTGCAGGACATACACCGCGCGGTTTGTTATCTATTTGAATAATTATACCCGTACGGGTAGGCACGCCGACAGAACAAAAACAAAAATACAGTTTTTTTCAGGTACTCGAAACAATTCGAGCGATCTACAATATGCAATCGACTGGCAGTAGCTGATATACGCACCGCAACGCATCCGCACGCACGCACGGTTAAATCGTAATAATATTATAATTTACTCCTCGTTAAACTATACACCGTATGTATGCGTTTTTAAACACTTTAATTACACATTTCAAAGTGTACGTATCTGTACGCTTACAGACGTGCTATGGTATACATTTTCGCGTTGCACGCGTTATGCAACTGAATGGTATCTATGAACATGTAAATTGTTGTTCCAATGGTCTTTTATACCTGCGCAACAATAATATTATTATGTCGTTACGCTGTTATTATCGATTATTTAAAACATTCACAGTTATGAATATCATAATTTCAGTAAATCATTATCCGCCGGAGACTTGAACGACAGTACACGTTGCTAATTATCAATGTAGTACTGTGCGATTTAAATTCAATAATAATACTCTCGAGTGCAGTCGTGGTACCGTCATCGATACCGGTATAGACGAGCGTACAGTTTTGCGTGCACGCATACGATTAACTAATGCGTTACTTTCTTTGTGTTAGAGCGATTGACAATAAACTCGCGTTTGTTTTATTGAAAAAAAAAAAAAAATAATAATAATAATAATATTATTATTAATTGAAATTAATTTATATCGCATAGAATATTAAATAAAAATAAAAACGTAACGCGGAAGAACAATTATTGTTTGTACGCCGCGCGGGCCGGATGGAATTTAAACCTAACGTCACATCGGCATACTTAAAACTATACGAAAAATAGGATTAATTAATATAACCAATCGATTAGGTTTGGGTTAATTGACACACGACCATTTAACTATCAAAAGTTATCGTACAAGGCAACATTGATTTTTCAAAATTTTATTTCAATATACATATGTATGCCTAAAATTGTATTGTAAGTAATTTACGAACAAGTTAATATTATTATATTGCATGATTTGTATTATTGTGTTTTTTTTTTTTTTTTTTATATTCGAACAAGAAATGCTCACGTATCATTTGATACTGTAAATGTTTATTTCAAAAAAATCATCATGAAAAAAAATGTTGAGATTTTTTTCAATTAAATAAGAAAACAAAATTAGATACAACAGTTTTTCCATTATAATAATAAGTAAAAAAAAAAAATCGCACGTAATATATTGAATTAAATATTTATTTAAAAAATAATAATAAATAATACAGTATTAATTATGAAGAGAGTAATGACATTATTACCTACATACCTAAACGTATATTATGTGTGAATGAAAATCCAAATAACTTTTTTTGTTTCTATATGAAAAAAAAAAAATCAAACCTCTATATTAGTTACGTGGGGTACCTTCTATTATTGCTTATTGGTATAACGCACCCGTAGGAAATGAAAAAAAAAAAAACACACAATGAAATACTACGTTTTTATCATAATAATATTGCAACATGTCTCGTCTTTCCACCTGTTTAAGACAAACAGGTAAATGCTATAATTCCGGTGATTAAAATTATTATTGCGGTGCAACTCTATGGACTGTTTCATCAGATAATACAATTTCGAGAATAAAATATGCACTTTACGGTAAATCCTTTACCTCTCCCCTACGGTTTTTAATTTTTCTTTGAAGCTTTTTCTGAATTTTTCTAAATTATTACCCATGTTGGAGAATCAGTTATGAGAAACAATGTTTTTAAAGTGTTCGGAAAAATTATTACACTTTTTCTCGATAAAAATATACCAATAAACTGGAAATCGGCTGATTTACGAAAGTAAAAATCCACTGAAACGTGGAAGCACGGATCATTTATTTTAGAAAAACTTTTATAATTTTATTTAGGTTTTAATAATTTTATTTAACACTATTTAATGGTTAAAACCGCGAGTGCGGTACACACATTTTGTTATAGATCGTCATTTACGTTTGAAAAAAAAAAAAAACTATATATTTCGGAGAAAAAAAAATGGAATAGGTGTTGTGAATTTGAAGAATCTCATTAGGCATCTACGACCCATCCACGAAATTATAGAATTTCGAACATTCGAAGTTTTCGATGCATTTGTTTTTTTTTGTCACAACAATGAAACGCGAGTGTTGCACCGCAACATCGACTTTAGTCACCGGCGATTACCGGTTCGTCCCGTTCCGACAGTCGGGTTGGCAGCACTGCGGCTGCGCGGCTATGCGAACGATCTCACCACTCCTCCGGTCGGACAACAGGTAGGGCCGCGACAAACAGGTAGGTGAGCGGCTATCAAACGTGATACTGCCACGCTACAACAGACCCAAAACAATAACACTGCCCAGTCAGGCGATTCTTGCAGCCAATAGGTACGCGAGCGCGTTCGTGTAGTGTCGTTTTTTTTTTTTTTTTCCTGTGATTTTCTTGGTTTTGTTTTTTTCCCCTCGTTTGTTTTCGACATTTTCCATTTATATTCGATTTTTTCAGTTCGGTGTTTACGCCCAGGACGACCTGCCTGTAGGTGTTCGTACGTTTCATTATAATTTGTGTAAATACCAGTAATACTAGCAGTGAGAGTGCGATGAAAACCGTACGCGAGTCGTCGACTTCTTCAGCGGCCGGTGACACACACGACAGGTAAACGTTCCCAACATAATAAGAATATAAAGAGATTTTATTGTACCGAACAAAAGTACAGGGGTATCGGTTATATTTTTTTTTTTTTTCGGTTTTTTTATTTCCGCCAATAAGTAAGTTGCATGCGTTAAAGATATTTATTTACGGGCATACGGACACTCTAAATAGGTCCGATGTATTTTTTTTTTCATCGTGCGTCATTGAACACAACACAACATCGATAATAATACGAATTTCGAGTTATGGACAACAGTCGACTGCAAACATATCAATCTCGATAGTTAGGTACACGCCGATTTAAGATTTTTTTTTTTTAAACATACTTTTTAAACTCCGTCCCAGAGACACTCGGATTCAGATTTACATATTCAATGTGAAAAGATTTTAATGCGCGCTCACGATTGTTATGTTAGCATCGCCGTGTGCATTTTGTCATTGTATATTATATAAATTAGCATATTTTTTTTTTTTTTTTAGATTTTAACTCGACAATACTCTTTTTTGTCGTTTTAATACTTAATAATTAATGTATCGAAGTGATCGCTGCAATACGCATGTAAAAACAATAATCGCATAATCATTAGTTATAGGTGGGTACGGTATATTGAGTACGTTTTTTCTCGATTATTACTAATTTTTTATGAGTAGAAACACTGATTGATATTATAATATCGATTTAACTGTAGTACCTACCTAGTATATTACCTATATCTAAACATTTTCTACGTATATTGTTTTATGAGGCGCGTGTAAAACATAAAAATCAATAGGTCACGTGTAATATTAATAATAGTAATAAGGAATATTTGTTCGGGAAATTATTATCGCCAGTATAAAAACAATAACAATTACAAACATTCTTAATTTCTTATATGATGGAATTACTTGTCTATAAACGAGAGATTTTTCATACTGTCGTGTTTCGCCGAGTACACATTTATTCGGTGGCGTAATCAGAGAAGGGTTTCATGTGGGTTTAAACACTCCTCAAATTCGACGAATATGCAGGGGGGGAGGTTAAAGCACTAAGTAATAATATATGTGGCATATTATTATCAAGACGCCCCCTCTACAAAAAAAAAAAAAAAAAGAAATGCGACACTGCCTACATCTGTCTATATGTGTAGATAAATCCGTATGCGTCCAGACTAAAGACACCTAATAAAACGTCATCGCGTGTGACGATGAGTAGTAATTAAATGCGGAACTCATAATCGTATTAGCTATTATAATTATATGGATGGCGTGGGAAACAAATATTAATAGTTGGGACAAAGAATAAATAAAGCTCCACGGAATAGGTTTATACGTTTCAGTGGAATTTAATAAAAAAACTTGAGTGTAGGCTACTATTATAATAATAATAATATGTATCAATGTTAATATTGTACAATTTGATTTTGTCGTATATGAAAATATAGAGTTCCTTAACCTAATTTTTTGAATCCATAGAAGAAAAAAATAGAACATACGATTCTGTCTGATGTATTTTTTACTATTTCATTAGGTTACCTGTTTTTTAATAGGTCGTGTAGGAATTAACCTGTACTTACTCTCTTGGTCCAACTAAGGGGCAACGTAGCAAAATTTCGTAATTTTATAGCATAGAATTCAAATTATAACGCGTTTTGATTGAAATATGGCAGTTTAAACACAAGAGACAAAACTTAAAGAGAATAATACATTCAAGAGTACCATCGCCGTTACCTTTATTCTAAAATATTTTCAAATAGAAAGTCACAGCCATGTTACGAGTTTAGCTTTTTTTTATATACATACGCGGATAGCTGTAGCTTTCTGTTAGGCAATAATTTAGAAAAAAAAAACTTACGTGGTGCTCTTGAAAATATTCTCATTCCTCTTTACAATTCGTTACCCGTGTTTCAACTTTAATTTAAACCTGAGCGCCACAATTTGAATTGTGTGTCATGCAATTTCGCAATGTTGTCATTGAGTTGGACCGAGACGTGAAATAAATGCACGGGTGATGGCGTCTCCGTGAGACCAGAAACTGCATATAGGTACCAAATTTGAGTTCGATCGGGTACTAAAAAAAATTAATTAACCAATTTTAAATGCCTTCGTAGTTGTCCATACAAGTGTAATGTGGAAATACTCGTATCATATCGAGTATACCGGACATGCCGAGTTTTCAAAATCATCGGAATAATAGAAGGCATTGGTAACACGGCGTGCACTCGAAATTTATCCAAACGAGTTATTTATCTCGTACGGTTATATTATTTATATTAAATATTGGAACGCGAAAGTGCAATAAATTCAGTGTCTTACTAACGAAACTCGAACACACAAACGCACAAAAATTGGAACAATACGATAATTCCAGCGAACGTCCAAGTTGGTAGGTATCCAAAATTAAATTTTTCTGACCCAGAAAAAAAAAAACAAATGGAATTTGTATTCCTTTTGTTCGAAAATGTCGCACCGAAATAATAATATATGTATGTACATTTGCAATGTGCCATAAAAAAAAAAAAACATATAATGTCCAAATAAAATAACTATCGAAACGCGTGTACGTGTATAATTTTAAATTTTAAATTATAGACGGCAATAATATAATTCCGCATTAACGTGAATAAAGAACGTCACACACGCGTTTCTGTTGTTTCCGTCGTATTATGAACGCACGACGTAGCAAATTTGCTTTCGGCAAAATCAATTTTGTCATTCGTGCTGTTAGTTTTAATATCAGAGCGAATTGACCTATAATATCAAACTCGGGTAATGTAAACAGGGAACATTAGCCGCGATTTCACATGGTTTTTTTTTTTTTTTTTTCTCTCACGTTATTTAAATTCTCGAGCGATGCGTATGGTTAAGTGAAGAATTATCACTACGCGTGAAATATACTCCGCATCTCGTTCAAAAATTAAAAACCCACGTCGGACATTCGGAGCGACAATAACAGTGACGCGCGTCTTGTTATCTTTTCAATAATATATTGTTGTCGGTCGGGGTCCGGCACGCGGTTTCGTCGGCGTTGATTTCCGCTGACGCGCGGTTATACCGAACGCTGCGAACGACCGACCGCCGCACTTCGCTGGGTTTCGGCGTACCGTCGGCGGTCCGTTCCGCGCGTGACCGTTAGCACGTCGCGCGGTTTTCAACGCGAATGACGCATTCGTACGGAGCGCCGGACGGACGGCCGGCACGCTAGCGGTCACCGCGTGCGACGTTTCTCGAACGACACCGAACGGCGGGTTTGAAACGATATTTCGCGCGTTCGCGACCCCGGGGCGAAGTCCGACTCTGCGTCGCGGCAACGTTGATGAGTTTGTCGCGCGCGCGCGCGACAAACGTTTTTGTTCCTGCGGCGGCGGTTCGACAGTCGGCCGCGCGTCGTCGTTAACGGCAATCATTTCCGTGGGCCGGTCGGGTGCACGGCCACTGCACATTATCATATCGTTCCGGGCGGAGCCGTTCGGAATGCGATAACGATAATAATAATAATAATGACAATTGTTCCTCGCGTATTCAACGATTATTACAAAAATTATTTATTACGCATACGCGTATTGTTCGCGATTAATAACTGTAAAGAACGTGGTATTATTATGTCGACGCGTGGCGCAGCATATCGTTTTGTATATTTAATGCGATCGTTTTGATTGTGTTACCGCGCGATCTTGGCCGATATTCGATTTTTTGAGCCAAGCGAGAAATGCGTTGGTTTTACTACGATGTGTGTGTGTGCATTTTATTTCCCCATACGCGCAAACAATTTTTCTACCGGAAACCTCGTTCCAATAAAAAGAAAAATCGTACAGGAACTATTCTACTCGTAGACAATTTTGGTTATCTTGGCTACAACGGAAAATTACGAAAATAACATCAATATACTCGACGTTTCGGACAATAACTGGTTCGTGATCAGTGTCTGCACAGTGTACGTCGCCGCAGTTAAGTAGTAAAGTAAAAAGCGTTACATGTGATACGTATTTTCTATAAAAAAAAAAAAAAAAACACCACAATGAACTGCCGTTGGCGTGATATTTTGTTTAATGAGGCGACTGCCGCTGCCGCCGCCACCGCCGCCGCGGTATCATGCACTCCGTAGTGACGTTATCACGCTGGGTTCAAATCGAATCAATTGCGTGTGCGCAGGCGGAGAAAATGGCGAACACTGTGCGGACACGACGATAAGTATTGTCTGTGCGACGGTCGCGCGCGGTCCGCGCAATGCGAACGCGGACCCGAGTACAATGCGATCGCGTGGAGTGACCGTAATGTGCGAGCGAAATAATTATTTGTTTCACGCGAACGGAATTCGTGCCGAACGCGTGACAAATCGCGACAAAAAACAAAAAAACAAAAATAATAATACCAGCGCCACGCGTTTCGATCGCGGATACCGCCGTCGGATCCGATCGCGTTTTCGCGCCGTACCGTAATACCGTATTACCGAACCGGCAGAAGCGGCTGCGGAATGCGGACTTTTCCGCGAGCGCATCGCGTACCGCCGTCGTGTACGATAAAGCGGACTCCGTATGCGTTCCATTTTCCGTATGCGGTCGATTTTCGAATTTTCCGTCGGCGCTCCGTACGAACGTTTCAGCGTAAAACGTTAAACGACAACACCGGATTTTTAAACGCCGCGGTACGTTTACGCGCGCCGAAACGATCGTTTCGCCAGCGCGGTACACCGACGTTTCGGGACGAACGCAACACACCTGCATACAGAGCGGAGCACCCACGAGGGCGAGCTCGTAGAAATATCCCCCGAAATAATAAACACGTTCGAATTCCGTTTTTTCAACAAAACGTATATCCGTGGCACATTCTGTACATTTATGTCATACCGGTGTACCGCACTGTAAATCCGACTTTGTTTGAAAACGAAAATGGTACTTTATCGTCTCTCGTTTAACAATTTTTTTTTTTTATATATATATGTTTAATATTTTATTTTATTTATCGCAATACAGGGCGAACCCAATTGCATTGTACAAACACGATTGCGTCATAACAATAATAATATTAAACGGTACTAAAATGTTACGTCTTATTGCGGAATACAGGACGCGGGCATTCGTGTCTTTTGTTACACAATCCCGTCACGCTATACGAATCCTACGACCATCCCGATCAGCTGCTAAATTCTTCAAATCCTATCCAACAACTTTTTCATATTACATTAATGGTATTTTCCCGGTCGGGATCCGTTCCGTTACCACCCGCGAGAATAGATTTTCGATTCTTACCTACACATCCGAGTCTTTCCTTTTCGCCTGAAAAATACTTACCGAATTATTTTTTCCCCGTGTATATTTATTTTGATTATACGGTTCTCGTTTTTTTTTTATTCGTGTACACTTCCCGCAGTAATGTGTAGTTTTCTATTATACGGTGGCTAAAACACCTGCCCCTTGAGTACATCCAGAATTGATTTTCGTCTAATTTTTTACTCGTACAAAATTAATATAATTGATTCAGATCCGTACAGTATTACTACTTCAGATCGTATCGAGGTATATTACAGTGCCGTACAGAGGGGATAGGAGTTATACCCCTCCCCCCTCCCAATAAGTAAAACATGTATAATGATTTATTTTGTGGAATATTGCATTTAACATAGGTAATAAACATTTATGTCGAAAAATAAACAACGGTAACGCCTTCTCCCTCCCATAAATGAACTCCGCGTACCACTGAGGTAGAATAGTACGCAGAGCCGTTTTTTTCTCGTTTCTTTCGATAGTGATACAAAAAAAAACGACCAACGGACGTCTCGAAAGTCGAGGCCGCGTGGTTTTTCTCGGCGGCGAGACTCTAACCCCTTATAAGCCCCGACTTAATCACTTGGGGTCCCTTGGGGCGCACTGCGATCACGCCGCGGTCGAACTGTATCGGAATCGGTCACATTCCGGACGGTCGATTCGGGTCGTCGCCGTACACTAACCCAACCCGGACCGCCGTCGCTTCACGTGACTCCAATAATTATTACGAATCGCCCGGGGGCACCTCCTCTCCCTACCAACACCCCCCCCCCTCACCACTCCCTCCAATCGGGATGCCACGCAGTTTTGTTACACCTGCAGCATAGTAGCTTCAGGTACGCACACCGTCGGGGGATAACGCGCCTTTTGTGAATATCATATCATATTATTATTACTATTACTATTATTATTATTATTATTATTATTATTATAATATACGTGTGCGATTGTGCGCCGTACGGTAACACCGCGAATACGGTCACCGCGAACGCGAACACAATGGGGCGCGAACGCACGCGCACACGCGATCCCGTAATTCTCGCGTTCCGAATGACAATCGCCCGTTGTTATCCACCTCCTCCTTGAGCCGTTTGTTGTTGTTGTTGTTGTTGTTGTTGTTGTTATTATCACACTGTTTATTATTATTATTATCATTGTCTCGTGTCGGTTCCCCTTCCGGCGGCGGCGTGCTTCGGGGACGTCTGGTCGGCACGTCGTCGCGGCGTATCGCCGATATCGAATTCGCATAGGACAACGACGAGGCGCGGCCGACCGGTGGGGCGGCCGCCGCAAGAGCGTAGGATTTCTGCGTTTTCGAACCGACGGCACTTTGTGTATTAACGGTGTACAGTGCGGCCCGCCGCGTGTTCGACGGATTTTTCCGGTGCCATTAATATTGCGCTCTTTTTTTTTTTCCCCCATCGGGTTTGTCTTCGAGACGGGACGCCGATTCGGAGACAAATTCAATTTTTATTTTCATCCCCAAAACACGCACACGCGCGCGCGCGCGAAAAAAAAATATTATTCTGAAGATTTTAATGCATCGTACATTCATATCCGATTAATAGAATCTTAATTATAGCCGTTTTAATTTCTAGAAAATAAGCGTAAAAATAATTAATATTCAATAGAAAGTAAAGATCGTGATTCCTTATCGCATCGCCAAACGTGTTATTTTATTGAATATTAATTGTTTGTACGGCTATTTTCTAGAAATTAAAACTGCTATAACTGAGAAATTATTCATCGGATATGAATGTGTGATAAATTAAAATTTGTCTAATATATTTTTTTTTTTTTTTTGCGTATTTAGGAGATAAAAATAAAAAATTAATTTTTCTCCATATCGTTGTCCTCCTCGAAGAAAAATCGAACGAAAAAAAATTGAATATTAACACGGTGAAACACACTGTATATAATATAAAACATTATGTATTATACTGACATTTTGAATAATATTTTTCGCATAAGACATGACTTATTTTCAACGCACACAATTCAAAAACAGCAATAAATGCGGCATAAAAGTTTCACTTCACACAGATCGAATATATGCACTCGGAACGCATTTATATATTATGCTGTCCTAGACTTTGGGTACAAAAATAAAAGCAAATTACGCATCATAAAAAATTATTGCCAATATAATTGGTGTTTTGGTGTTACGCACGAAGAATACCTAAATAAAGGCTAAAACTTGTATATATCATACGACGATGTTCTACCAAAATGTCCGAAAAATAAAAATATAAAAAATGTATTATTTATATAGATAATTTAAATTATTATATCATAATATTATTGTACACGTATTTGAACTATGGTATATTTGAATATATTCGACATAGCAACAATAATTGTAAAAAATCGAAATAATAAACATAGTGTAGGTATATAGGTGATATACTTATAATATAATAGTTTACAATAAAAACAATTTGATAACTACATTGAACAAGACGGTCATCACAGTTCGCGTTCATTCGTTGTGTTTTTTTGTTATTTACCTACACTGTATGGTGTACAAGCCGGACGTAAAATCATTGTTATTTTCTTCTAGACATTCAATGTAAAATTATATTATACGTTATATACATATTAAATATCTATAATTATCTTACACGTAGGTACCTATACACATTTTTTTTTGTTTTTTTTTTTCAAACATTTTTTTCTCCGAGACGTCTTTTCCTCCAGACATTTTTACCTAAATCCATAATACCAATGTAAAAATCATTTATTCTAAAAATTAGATTTATCAAAATAATATTTTGAAGTGACTATTATTTAATAACATTTTTAAAAGTTTCATAAATTATGGAACTGCCAGTTACACGGATCACAAAAAAAAAAAAAAAATCCTAACCTAGCTTAGCCCTCGAATACAATGCTATTGCAATAGGTAATTCATTATATTCAAAGGAACGATAGGTCTTTTTAAACATGGGTACGCAGTTTTCATTTTATAATGTTATAGACGTCAACCTTTCAACATCAAAAGTTGAGAGCATGTGTCGGAATACGAAATTATTTTATTTCAATATTATATAGTCTCGAGTCACGGAAAATATTATTAATTAGCAGACGTTTTGTGTAACGCGTATGTCATATATGTATATGTATCAGTATGTACACGTAGACGATTTTAAACTCGTTAAAAACAATTCCGTATAGGTTTAAATAATAATTACTGTTTGTTTTGTACAATGCGAAATCGCACGTTGTATACACTTTGCAAAGAACGGGGCGAAAAATGATCGGTAATTAGTATGTCATAAATGCCGCGTGCAGTGGACAAAATCATCGAAATATTATTTTAAATAATCTTTTTGCCATTTAATTATGGGGTAGTGAAACTTCGATAATGAATTGTCGAAATAATTATTATAATGACTCCCGCAAAACGCAAACACGGCGTACCTATACTTATATTATTTCAATGTTGGTGCCGCCTAATATAATACATAATTTTTATCAATTATAATTCGTAAACAATATTAATTGTAGATTATAACACGTCGTAAAAAAAAAAATAAATAAATAAATGGTCGAAAAATCCGGGTGTGTGTGACCCGTGTCATACATTACAAAAACGTTGAGAACTCGAACATACAAATAACAAAAAAAAAAAAAAAAAAAAAAAAAAAATAATAAACCATTTTTATATTATAATCGTATTTCAATTAGTGCAATTAGTGCATAATATTAAGAACACATAATCAGTGTTGATACTTGTCTAAATACATTTGTATTTGTCATTTATCTTATCTATAGATAAATGTTACCATTAGTCATCGTAATGGTCACCGTAACCTAACATTACTAAGCTGGACAAATTAATAATATTGAACGAGTTCAAAAACGATTTTTGAGAGTACTGGCATTTAAGTCTAATTGAACTGACGTCTCGCCCGAGCAACTAGCTAGCGAATATAATACCGAGTCGCTTGAGAATAGGAGAAAACCTCGTAATGTGTCTTGGTTGTACAAACTACTAAACTCTCAAATGTTTTGTCCGGATTTACTTAGCCAAATACCTCTGAATGTTCCTCAAACAAATAATTGCGTGTCAAAAACATTTGTGTACGTACTTATCGTAATAATTATAGTCAATTCGCGCCGATCAACAGAACGCTAATTTCTGGGAACTCAATTAACAACATCGACTTTTTCCATGACAATTTAACTAAGTTAAAATCAATATTTAAATGTTAAATACTGAGTATATATTAAATATACATAAATATATAAATCTATATTAAATCCTGATATATGTTAAATGCTAAATAGATTTAATATTAAGACACGCTTACGGTATTCTATTATATTTTTGGTGTATCTACGGAGAACAACTGTTCTGAGCCCCAATTGTCGGGCGTATGCTTATTATAAATAAATAAATAAATATTTTTCTTAAATACAAATGTGTTTGATATCGTATCCGTTGATATATTCTATGTGAAATTCGAACGGATTATCGTAGTTGAAAATAAGAGTAATTTATTGTCGTTATTTTTTGAAATTAACATTTTATTATAACCATTTATATACCACAATACGCGACAGTTGGACACAGTACAGTAAAAAAAAAACATATTCCGGATATTTATAATTATTTATGTCGAAAATCGACCGCTTTAATTTGATTTAATTTTTTTCGAAGATAATTATCGAATTACTGAATCCGGACAACCGTTTATTTTCTCTGTGTAGTAGTTTCGTGTTTCTATAAAAGTGTCGGTGTACCTATCTATGTGCGTGTGTGTGCGTGTGTATACTTTCACAAAATAATCTCGTATACGATATTATATTTTATACGTTTATATCAAATATTTTATTACCTGTGGGCTTTGATTTACCGCGGAGAGGATAACATTAATCATTCGATAAAACCGATCGTGCGGCATACACTTAATATACGCACACTGAAATGACGATAATATTATAATATTTTCATGTATATGTGTAGACGACTGTTTAAATATTACATATTTGTACAGGTTTCGATAATTAATTTCGAATATTATCTATATTATATTTTTTTGAAGTTTAAAGTATTTCGGGTCAACGGTATACCCAATAATGTTTTCAGTCGTTCGGTATTGACGGCTTTCTCATAATACTAGGCCGCTATATGCATACCTACCGATATCGCTGCAATGTACACTTTTAAGGCAACAGAGAAAGAGAGGAACGAGAAACTCGATAGATGCACAATGATATAGGATACGATTTTAATTTTTTAATTTTCGACGTATCAAAAGTATGTATATCTACGATCCTGTATTTGTATCCAAAGATACTCAACTCCTTTAGTTAAAAACCGACAAAAAGTAACAAGTAAATACCAAAAACTCAGTTGATAAAATAGATTCCAACAGTAAAATATTATTTTTTTTGATGACCACCACTATTCGAGAACATGTAGTTAAATAAAACTCCCTCCCAAAACACCAGTAAATCTAATGAAATTAGCAAAAATACAATAATTATCTATCAAATATAATTTTTTTACATCGTTTTAGCGTGACGTTATTTTCAATAGCACTCTTCTAGATTTCATGTCGAACCAAAAAAAATAAACAAATATCAAGTCCCGAAACCCTCGTGGTTATTATATGAATAATAATTATTAGTTATTAAACATCAAAGTATATTTTATTATAACTGATCGGCGTGTAAAACATTTTCACATTTTGATTTATTGATAGGTACGTATGCCACAACCATCACGCCTTTTATGAACAGATCAATAATGAATTGTTTTTAGTATTATGTATGAATTCGAATTCCCTGTTCTATGGTTCTACCAGAGGTAGAATACTTTGTATATATTCCCGTGTTAAATAAATGAGTGACCTTAAGCCTCTGAAACTCGAGAAATGCGCCCTGAAATAATATTAAATGTTGGCCACAATTGATCAGTTCTGATGTCAATATTGTCGGTACGGAGGTGTTCGTTACTCGGGTAAACAAACGTATTCCATCAGGTTGGTGAACAATAACGTTTCCTCAGAATCATCTTTCAGATCACAGGTAAACAAAAATCAACCTGCTGATCGAGCGTCTATTCTGTATTGTTCGTTGGTCGAACAGTCGTGTAGTCTGTAGCCGCGCACATTCCATGACCCACCCACCAATTTTGGCTGTCATATTTGAATAAAAACAAGTCTTCACCGTAGCTACCAATCGCTACTAGTATACGCGATTCGGTACTCGGTAATTATTATAATCGCGCGTTTGTATTTTCGATTGCAAGACATATTTTACATTTTTGGCAAAGTATAATAATCGTGTGACTATACTATCACTCTCAGATACTGGTATTATATTATTATAATAATAGACGGGAAGTGTGGAAATCGTACAATAACGATTATTACGTACTTCCCACCCGTAACAATGGAAAACAAATGTAAACAAACAATACGATGATAATTATTAAAATGGCGTTTACAAATATTTTATTTCTACATCTCGATAAATGGTGACCTATTAAAATAATAATAGTAACACATAGGTGAATTTTGTATTTATATTTATGTTTTTTTTTTTTTTTCTACGTTTGCAAAAAGTATTTCACACAATTTAACTATCGCGAACAAAAATCATAAACTAATCAAAATTAATTTATAACAATAAACGAATTTCAACTGTTTGTTTCAACTATAACCATACACATACTGTACATATACAACTATGCAACTATGATCAACTTTACATAGCCCACTGTTTGCTAGAGGTATATGAATAGTTGGTATTCATCGCATACCAATTGATCCATTTAAGTGGATACACTCATTATATCGGAAAGTGTTAATTTTTTTATTCCGAAATCCGTTTTCTAGAACATTTAAGAAACAAGCAGCTATACGATTTTATATTTACGTTATTTTTTGTCACCCTTATTTTCGGGAGTGAAACCGGTACCTACTTTTGATCTTCAAATGACAACCTATAATGAAAATCACACAATTATAGTATTAATTAAAACAAAATTAAGTGATGCATTATTAACACGCCGCGCGCCGTACCGCCACACAAATGATACTCCATTACTCTCCCGCAACCCAAACTTAAAAGTGGAATATCTCGTTAACGGATCGACGGAAATCAAAAATGTCATCACTAAATTTTATTTTAATTAATACTATAATTGTGTGATTTTCATTATAGGTTGTCATTTGAAAATCAAAAATAGGTAGTGGTTTTACCCCTCAGAAAAAGGGTGACAAACAAAATCATTAATATCAAAGTCTAGAACGGTTTGAATTTTAAATGTTCTAGAAAACAAATTCTAGAAAAAGTAAATACTTTCCGAGATAATGAGTGTGCCCGTTTAAATGGACCGCCGGGTACAAATTGGGCGAATCGTTTTGATTAGCCACTGAAATATTTGTTAATCAATTAACGGTTCATGCCGTGGAATATGTGATGATGTAGACACGATTTGTGATCGAATAGTACGTACGACTGCCGAGATCCGGATTTACTCAAGCGGCCGGGTATTTAGTTGTTTTGTACATTTGTCATGTTTCGACATAATGCTGCGTCTATATTCCATAACATTCCTTTTATTCTTAGAAAATTCCGCAGTTTAATAGGTAAATAATTATTATTAAATTTCTGAAGGTGAACGAAATAATAACATTGTAATAATGTTGTTATTACCGACAGTGTATACGATTTTATTTCTAGGTAATACTATATTATCCAACCAAGTACCCGTATATATACTCGTATATAGGTACACGTATATTATTAACATAACATGAGGAATAATTAGAAACGAATTATGGAACGATAAAAACGATATTATCCGACTAAATTGTGTTTCGTATTTGTATCGTTGAAAACAATTAACGTAAACTATTAAAATCTAAAAATATTGCCGACCCCGAATAGTCGTTAATAGTTCATAGATAATTAATTAATAAAATATTGCAAACTCTTTTTGTACTATTTTTTTGTTAAATGAATACATGACCAACTATTATTATGTTATTTACAAGATAGTTAATTAGTATAAATGAAAATGTTTTGAAAAAAAAAAAAAAAAAAAATAATAATAATAAAAATGTTAATGAGAACCAACCTTATTTTTTCTCGAACCACGTTAACATTGCTTCCCCCAGCTCGACCTACACTCCTAGAGCGTGGAGTCGTTAGCCGGGGAGCGAATCAGCCCAATCAGGCAGCTATGCGATGAGAACCAAATCTAACCTAATCTGCAGTTAAAAAACTTTTTTTTTTTTCTAGGTTTATCAGACAAAGTCCGGAAAAAAGTAGTTTTTATCAGTCTAAAAAAGTATTCCGAATTTTTGCGAAATCGAACAAAATTGGAAAAAACAATTTTTCTCTTCGCAAACATTTGTCCAACATTAGAATTTGGAATAATACAATTTATATATTCACGAGTGTCATTCGTTGTATAATTATTTTTTACTTTAAATAATGTAATTGTATATGTGAAATATATACAACATATATTCCGTTTGCATAATAATTAGTGACTAATAAAAAATAAATAACAAGTGAATTATCCTACTGTTGTACAGTACATAGTTGTCACACAACCGTCCGGGAAAATAATATTTGCAGGGACGTAACGGGGTTACGATTTGTATTCTAAAAATGAATGAAGTAAATTTAATTACACATTTCTGTTGAAATACTCGTAATAATTTAACCAAACAAACTCAAACGATAATCTTATTACGCTGTTGCTGAATTTAATTATTATTATTTTGTATACGAGTATTGAAAAATAATAATATTGCAGTTTAAAGGTACCTACGTGCACTCAAGTCTTGTTACATTTTTTTTAATTGTTAAAAACGAGTAATCGTATTTACGTTGGAATGTTAAAATTATTAAATATCTTTCTACAAATAAGCTTATATTTGTGAACCGTGTGTTACTCCAAAAACTGTTAACCGGGAATAAAATATAAAAAAAGGCCACACATAAAAAATACTCTGAAAATTATGATACAAAATAATAAATCTAAATAAAGTTAGAAATGAAAAATTTTCTGTTGTTCGTTTGGTAAGTTAACGGGTGGTCTAAGTTAATAATACAATTAAAAACGTGATAAATGCAATTAAATTAATTCAATTCGTATGCTGTGTTTTATAATATATAATATCCCCTATATAATACAAAAGAAAGGAAAGAAAAATTGACTTTTAATTTTCAGACCAATTAATTTGTGTTTACAAACAATTGTAAATCAATATTATTTATAAAATATACTTAAAAAAAAAAAAAAATTAACTAATAAAAGAGTTAAATCAAATTACTCTCGAACACAGGACTTTTCCGTTTTTATAGAATTAATTATTCATAATACAAATAATTACAATAGAATCACTGGTTTTTTTTTTTTTTTTACAAGTGTACCAGTAAATTAAATTAAATTATACACTCGAATAAATCTAAATGTAAATGAACATTTTAATAAATATTTGAAAACAAGTTCTATAGATTTTGATAACATTCGATTAATTAATTCAACAAATAATATAATTTATGTCCACATCAATTTATTGAAATATATTATAAATTATCACCTGCGTACAGTATTTTTAATAAAAAATGGGAATAAATAACATGAAAATAACGTCAAATTACTTTTTTCCTCCCTTTTTTTTAACGAAATAATTATTAGGTTAGGTAGGTAGGTGATTACATGAAAAACAATTCCAAATTACAAAGATCATAATTTAAATTTAATCGTTTGCACAGTTTCTTGTCCCGTTGCTTGGTTTTTTTTTTTTTTGTTCGTACATTTTTCAAAATTACAGTTGGTAAGTACGTTGAATTAGGAAATTCGAAAAATTACCTCTTTAAAGTACCACCAGTGTTCGAACGTAGTTACCTACCTATTTGTAATCGAATTTCCGCATAAAGGTTGAGACAAAAAAAAAAAAAAAATCAAAATAATCGCTCCGTTGTTCGAAATCCGAACATGGCGTGTATATTTTACTGTCGACTTTTACAGAGCCGGATTAAGAGGGGAGAAACAAAGACTACAACCCAGGGCCCCAAGAAAAAAGAAGCCTACAGAATTATTTCGAAGTCGTAATTTGTCTACATTTACTATAATATAACACAGATGATTACAATTTTAAAAATAGCTCGTATTGCTGATGACTGTGTCGATATTATTGGTGGAAAGCTGAGAAGTATTATCTGAATACGTAGAGTTATTAAATTTATATTTACGTAAGCAACGGTAAATCACGCTAACGGAATTCTATTCTGAGAGTAGTTCAATTGATCATGTTTTAAAATGTTCGGTAAAATTTGAACTTAATGCTTTTAAAAAAACTACTACATAAAGTTGAATTTTGTTTTTTGACCGCTTAGTACCAATTGTAAAACATTAACATTGTGTTAAATGTTCAAGCGTTCTACTCGTCTAAATCAGTTTCATTTACATTAAATTAAATAAAAACTAAAAATGACAAAAATGCCAAGTGCCGATAAATCGCTCAAAAATCGCCAGAATGTTTTCAAACGTCTAGAAAAAGCTAACGTAATAAAGTAGTAGGTACCATATTTAGGTATCTTCGATTAGTTTTAAACGAAACTACAGGTTTTTAAGTCATAGCGTAGGATGAGTTTAGATCACAATTTTATTTTCTCAAACTATATGGCTGCGTAACCGAGTAACTAATATCTGTCCGCATAAAAATAGTTCGCATTCAGTAATATACGTATTAAATACTCAGCGTTGAAAGTTTTATTTAGCTTTCAAGTTGGCAGTCTCAATTTGTAGGTATTTTTCCACCTCGTTTATATAATTGTTTACATTTTCGGTGTTAGTTCGTTTTTTTTTATTTAGATTTAAAATGTATTATTGATTTTTTCAGTATTTTTTAGTGCATTAATTATACTGTCTTTTTATTTGTTACTTTAATTTGATCGAAACTGTTTTATTTCCTTATATATTTTATTACTCGTCATGTCTCGTGTATTGTAATTGCAAAAATGTCGATTTCATAGAAAAATGATATTACAGAACTCGAATATTGGTCATTGAATATAGGTATTCTCATCGACGTACGCTGATCGATTGTAATACTGTACAAATAGTTGACACACTGTCATGAATTTATTGGATACCCATGTGTATAATATCTTTGCGGGATGGTATGTGTCACGACTTCTGTGTCACGCAAACGTGTAGTATAGTTGTATGGCACATAGACATAAATTAAAAGTAGACTCAAAAATACAATAACCGTTACAACGATTTTATTGTATGTAATACAATAGGCGCGACATCGTTATGTAGAAATATATTATGTCTTTGTTTTAATACCGATTTAATTCGTATCTGTGAATCTTTGTGTAATTGCGTTTGACAGAACGTGTACATTTCTTTTACCTACGTGACATAATTTATATCGCACAAGAAAAACGAAAGAACTACACAATATGAAAATATACGATCTGTTTCATTATCTCAACGGTTTTTTTCGGCGTATGTTTTTCAGCGTGACGTTTCGGTAGATTTGTTATAATCACCCACTTATTGTTATAATGTTTTTTTTTTTTTTTTTTACAATATTTCCGTGAATAACTTGCAAATTTGTTATTTAATTATTATTATTTTTTTTTAGTAAAATTATAATTTTTGTTGAGAAAGGTGTTGCGTATTTTAATGTCTGAAGCGATTCATATTGTAATTCAAAACATAATTTATACTGTACTGTAAATTATTGTGCAGTTGTGTTATGAAAAAATAACATCTGGTTATTAATATTGTGTGGCTGATCTTATCGACGTTTCGTGTGATGCCCCATTTTGCGATTACACAGTGTATTATTACACTATATACGAGTAGCGACTAAGTGAATTAATGGCGCTAGTGATGGTAATCATCCGACATTGTAGGGGTTGTAACGTATAAAACCCATAATTATATAAATTTCGTACGTATAACGTTTGGTGCTAATAAAATCCGCAATAATCTTCACCTTAATATATTATGTACTTAACATCAATAATTAAAAGACATAGAGAATGAATATTAAACATGGTATATAATACCTATATGTTCTTCAGTATTGACTCGTTACAGATATACTTCGCACGATGGGTAGGTCATTGTCGTGGATGAAAAGTCGGTAGAGTAGAGGGAAATTCAACGAACATCTGTACGCAGCGATTAACCATCATTGCTAACGAAAAACAATACGATTCTGAGCAGCGTCCGGTTACACATGTTTTGAAAGGTCGGCCGTAATATTTACGATTTGTAAAAAAAATTAATTCCATACATTTTCCCGTTTTTCTCAGTTTTTCCTATTGAAAATCAAAAAGTTACCTCCAGTATTACCCAGTCCGGTTTTCTTAGAAAAAGTGATGTACATTTAATAATCGGAGCAAAATTTCTGGTATAAAAGTTGTTCACAGATAAAAAAAAAAAAAATCTCAAACATCATTGTAAAACCGCTCCGCTTTGAATCTAAAACTTGCGTACTTTTACACATTATATACGTTTTAATTTGCGTACGATTTATTGTTATTCCCGATTTTAGAAAAATCACCAAACGACGATTGAATGCATGACGAGTAGCCAATAGGAAACGGTTTCCGCTCTCTGTTTATATAGACCGCCTTTATGAAGGTGAAGGTCTCGTTGCGGTTTATCAAACGTCCTGTATACTCGTTCACGACGGAATTCCGAACGTGTACGCGCCTCGAAATAGTATTACGGTGGTCGGCCGTCGTCGTACGGATTCGATTCTATAAAATAAATTTTATAATAATTATAATTTCTATGCGCGAGGCATGATAATAATAATGAAAAATGTTAATACTATATAATCGCTGTACGCGTATATGCGGCGGAGTAACGGTTTTTCGTCGACGATGTGTCCCAAAAGAGCCCGACGCGGACTACGCGCGGTCGACGACGACGGTTGGAAATTCTTTTGATATTTTTTTTTTTTTATACATATATATTTTACACTCATCGTGAAAGGAATGTCGCTATTGACAAGTATATACACACGTAAAAAATAAAAAATAAAAAAACCGGTTTCGTGAGTGTGTGCGCTGCTCTCTCGTCGCCGTACAGGTACGCCGCCACGAGCCTACTAACCTTGTTTATTAAATGCGTTCGTGAGCGTTTTGTAGGTATCCACGTCGTCGTTGCGGCCGCAGCCGCGGCCACCGCCGCCGCCGCAAGCCGGCAATTATTCCGAAATCGAAAGGGAGAAATTGTATTTTTCTCGAGTGCATTTGCGTTTTTTTTTTTTTTTTTTTTTTGATTCAATATCGCACGAGTGAAAATTGTTTGATGGACCCGTGGAAGAAAGATGAACGGACGGTAGATTATAGTTTTATTTCTCTTTTCAATTACCCACAAAACGTGTTCCGCTATTAAATTACACAATTCGACGGTATATCACGGGTGTCTCACCGTGTATGAATCGTCTCAGTCAATGTAAAGATATCTACAACGCGCTTTAAATCTGATTTTTAGAAAACTATATTGATTTATAAACGCGTGCGCTTTTAGATTCTGAGTGTAGCAAAGAATGTATTGGTTTTACAAAGATCTTTATTTTTTTATACTGCGTACAAAACTTCTACTATAAATCATGTTCTGAAGTATTGAGTACTTTTTCTGAAATGGAATTTTTCTGGGGTGGTACATTAGGGGAATACTTTTTAAACCGGAAAAAAACAGAGGCAAAACGGGAAAACGTACGAATTGTAGGTACCTATTAGTAAAAAATATGACGTCCTTTTTTTCTCTGTCAACAACTTTTTTACCAGCAATTTTTCTTCGGTTTACAATGATAGCACTTTTTCTGAAAGGAAATCTGAGGTAGTACTTTAGGAAGGTCGTTTTTTGATTTTCCCAATGAATGGAGAACCATGGTAAAAACCGGAAAAAAACAGGAAAACAGATGTAATATAATTAAACAAATATTAAAGAAAATATATAATGCATACGTAATTATTTTACCTTAATATAACATATATATTATTGACAAAGCGATACTTAAACCGAATTCCGCTCAGAATCGTTTTTCGTGAGCAATGGTTAATCGTTTGCCGTACATAAATTCCCGTATGTATCCAATATTCTCAACTCCCCACCTACAACAGTGGCTGCACCCGTCCCATTGTCCTAGTACAGCTTTCTTAACATGGTCGGTACTCGTTTATTCTTTATCGCAGCAAACAATGATTATAATTAAAGTTCGATTTTGACATTGCGTACAGATATATATTCAATTTCCCCTATACCTTCCCGATTTCTTACATATAACGGTGGCCTTCTCACGTGCGAAGTATGTTCGTCTTTTTTTATGTATTCACACAAAAACGTATAATTTCTAAAACTCACATTTCAACAAAAATTCAAAATAAATTATTTACTGTAACGGGACACCCAGTTATATGTTAATATTGTTTTATACGCTTCCGTCAACGATAATTCTCTCGACAGTAAGATTTACATAATTAAGGGGGGAAAAAACCATTTATGAGCAAAGAAAGAGGGAGCTTATTATTATATTTAGTTTTAAAGGTTATTTTATCATTATTTATTCTTTTTTCGGACATTTGAGTATGATATTATGTTGAATTTATACTAGTTGGGGAGAAGGGGGATGTTTTGATTAGATATAATTTACAGATTATAAATTATCCGGTATCCGTCAGTTAATGATATTAAGGCGGTCGAAGGACAACGTTTTCCAATTTTCCAACTCCAAAACTCAAGGATAAATTAATGCAAAATTACCTATACAAAAATTCGTTTGTAAATTACTTACCAATAAATGAACTGGATTAAAGGTTTACTGGGATTTTTAATTTTCTCTGCAATGACGATTATCGTATTGTGTGCGTTTTAAACAATAAACCGCCACACCGTTTTGTGCTGAACGTTATCTTGGAACTTTTAACTTTTATCGACATTTTATTTTTGGACAATTTACGAAATGCTATTATGCAATTTTTCACATATATTTTGTGATGTTTATACTTTTTTTTTTTTTTTGCGAGACATAAAACATTATACGTTTGTGATATACGATTATTTTATTCGTGTTTAGTTCGTTTTAAGTCGATTTGATATTTAAACTTATATATTATAGCTAGTATATGTATATTTATGCACCACACTAACTTCCGGAGAACGATTTCGTACTTTTTAAAAATATATATACATATTATATACGCTTCTGTTCTACATACACACGTATTTAGCAGTTATTCGATTGAACACTCAAAAGCGATGCTTGTAAAATTTATTTTAAAAATAAAAAAAAAAACCTTTAGTTTTTTTTTTTTTTAACAATGTAATATAAATAGAAAAATGTTTATAAGATGAATCAGTATACAGCGAGAAAGATGACGTCATTACGATATTAACCCTCTTTATATTCCGGTTTGAAATGTACGAGATGTAATCGAAAGAAAAACAAAAATAAAATATGAATAACGCATATATTATATAGTCTGAGACGCACTAATAATATACGCGTCCGTAAATATTATAAAAACAAAAACGACTCGAGTGAGTGCTTTTTTGCGTTTCTGAAAAGAGCAAAACGACCAGCTTCGGTAAGTCGTCGCTGGGCCACCCGCGGCATGCGATAATACAATGCAAAATGCTGTAAAGAAAAATAAAATGTAAAAGAAAAATATGTCTGAAACATGTTTTGTAAGATTGAAAATTCCATTTCAGACCTATATGATCTTTGACATTTTGCGCAATAAAACATAAATCTACACGGTGCACTATATAGCGGCGGCGGGACAACAATCGCGTGTGGGATCGTATTGTTTCGAGGCGTTTTTTTAATCGCGAATCGCCATGTTATCCGCTTAAAAAAAAAATCATCCAGTGTTTTTATTACTTAAAAAAAAAAAAACTTAAAAAATATAATAATATATTTCCCCTTTATATTATATATCGAGGAGAGTTTGGCGCGTGGTTGTAACCGATAAAATTCATTTTTCGTGTGCCGGTTTAAGATCACGTATTTTTCGAAATTCTATTACTTACGTAAGTTAGTCTTTCATAAAATAATAGTATTATTTTATTTTGTTTGGTTTTCATTATCGTATACGTATTTTATCGACAAAATACTGTGTACGAAAACCATATCCTGTACACGTTATTTGCGATACCGTAAAATACCCACCTAATTCCGATTTTGGAAATAGTTTTTGATTTTACCGATAAATATTGCACTTTATTTTTTTATTTGCCAATCGTAAAACTTCAGTACCGCATGGTCGTAAAATATAATTTAAGAACTAAGTATACGATATTATGTTTTTATTCACATTATTATTACATTCGATTAATTCTTTTTCGACCCCTGGAAATATTGTTTAAGAAATATTAAAAATGTTGTCTTTTATAATATGAAAGGACCAGGAAAAAAACATTCTACTTTTTTTTAAGCTTTAAAGACTATTGCGGACCATAGCTGCAATACAAACATTTCACCATCTATACCTTTGTATCCTTGTTCTGACCTATTTTATTAAAATTGTATATTCCTAGTTGTCTTAGTCCCTTTTTACTTCTATCAATTCACAAATAAGGAAAATAGGTATAACTTAAACATTTTGAGAAAATTAGATTTTAGTTTAAGCATTTAAAATTGATTTGTTTTTTCATAGATTTAGACCAATAAGCTGGATTAAAATAAACATATACTTCCAGTAGTTCCAGTGCCTAGTATAATTTCTGTTAAAAAAAAATTAATTTGACTTTGTATACTTTTTTTCTATATTCTGTGGAAAATATGTTAAAAATTTGTTTTTTATGCGACATTTTTAAGTACGAATCTATTTTAAGAAAAAAAAAATAAGATATTTTCATCATTCATTTTTATTTAATTAATTAAATAAAACACCGAATAAATATTTTCTACAAACCGTAGACATATGGAATCAAAAATTTAAAACGATTTTTTTTCAAAATTAATAAATTTGGTTAAATGGTTATAAATTAATTTTACTCCAGCTTATTCGTTTAAAACGTCATTATACTTAATAACAACATACATCGCATAATCTTTTAGAAATTTAAATGTGTACACAATTTGGTACATTTTTATTACTTTTACACTTGGTTAGGTTAGATAAACGTTATAGATAATGAACAACCTTGTCTTTTTTGAGGCGAGATAAAAAGTTGTTGAATATTTATTTAGATATCTTAAAAATATGTTTAATCTTTATATACAACACTGATGACAAAACAACAACAACAAAACATTTTAGTTTGTACTTTTTGAATAGGAAGTTTTTGTTATCAATTTGGAACTCGAAATTTAAATTTTAATCATATAATTGCATATTTCATTACCTACTATTAGTTTCTGTAAAACTATTTCGAATCAATTAATTTTCATTAAATTGAATCGATTGTTTTGTCCCGTTGACGTGATATTTTGTATATACTATTTCAAGTTCAGAATCTTTTTTGTTTTTTTTTATTTTATGTATTGCACACTAATGATATACTTTAAATATGTGTAATTCGGTAAATGTAAAAAAAGATTTGGTACATTGGTTGTACATGAATACGGTGATACTGACGGAAGTCTATTTCTAAACTAGTATCATGACGACGACGGCGATAGTTTCCCTTTTCCGTTAAAACCAATATTTTCTCTTTTCAACGAGTAAAAAAAAAAAATAAATAAATAATTAATAATAGTTGATAAAAACTGAGTAAAAAACCTGTATATTTTATAATCGTATAATGATGTACGCATTGAATCTTTTTTGTATATCCAAATAAATAATAAAAGTAAATTAACAGTTTTCTATAAAAAAAAAAATATATATATGTATACGAATATAATTATAGTCATGGGCGTTGTTTCTAAACAAATAATATATTATTTATGAGAATATTTTTTTTTAAATACAATTTTTATTCATTCGGATATCATTAGAAATAAAAGTTGTGAAAAAAAAAACGGAAGATTTAATATTACATTAAAAACCAAATGTTAACATTTGTATAGTTATTCAATACATTTCATACTTAATATTAGATATGCTGCAATTATAGCGTCAGTTGCAGATCTGATCATTTTTGTTGGTCGAGCGAAAAATAAATTTAAACAATATTCGTCTTCCTATTGAGGAGTTATTTATTAATTTTTATAGTCGTCGTTATCGTATGAATGCAATTAAATTAATGTGATACTTATGTAATAGTTGGATTTTACGATTTTTAATTTTAATATTTTTTTTCTCTGTAATTCAATAAAAACAATTGTAGAGACCTGAAATTTGTATCGAACACTAACATTCAATTTTTCTATGTGTGATACAATTTTGAAAATATTCAGACGTTTTTAAAGTTATTTATAACCATTTGAAATTAGAGCTTTTTTTTTTTAGTTTTCATTTGGTTTTATGCAAAAATACTCGAAAATTAAACGCAAGGTTCGTTATTAGTTGTTAGTATATTTTCGTATAAGTGTTTTACGTTGAAATTTCGATAAAAATCGTAAAAATCTCGACATTTCAAAACATTTTAACGGAGTTCGCTCAGAATCGTTTTTCACGATTTATCATTACGTACGGATATTAATTAAATTACTCTATATTATCCTAGATCTCCATCACTCATAACAGTGACACACCCGACAGCATTATCAGCTCTTTAGTTTAGATTAGACTTTATAATACGATTCAGCCATAAATTACAATTTAATGCGTATGTATACAGGTTTGCTTATTCTTATGAGGTTTTTTTTTTATTTTGAGTAATGGTCTTGAAACAATAATAATTTGTAAAACACGTTTTCGCTTCAAATAATTTGCCATACAAATAATAATATGTAAATAACCCGCAGTCGTACGCAGTCCGTCGGCGACTTGTATGTCACATACCAAAACGTCTGGCTACTTATATGGTTTTAGCACTTATTTTTTTATTGACAATGCACCGCCGAGGCGATTTCGGGTGGAATAAAATAAAATAATATCGTTCCCTTGCCTTTTGCCGATATTACAACAACAAGAAAAAAAAAACCAATCGAATTCGACACAGCCCTTTGTGATGGTGCTTTATAGCAGCCTTTATCCGCGCGTTATTGCGTGTGTTGTTTACGCGATATTAAACAATTTTTTTATTATTATTTTTTTTTTTTTTTTACATTTAATCCATAAAATAATAAATTTCGTTTAATAATTACAATTTATTCGCACGCAAATAATTTATTAATGTGTTCGGTTTTAGGTCGACGGTCTCCTCAAGACGCTGTTAATAAAGTCTTAGTATGTCTGGAACGCAATTCGCTACTATGTCGTCGTCCAACAATACGCAGCAACCTACGCTGACGCTCAGCGAACTTCAAAAGGTAAAATAATTATGTTTAGTAATTAAAAATTATTATTACAGGTGTTCCAGTAGTGACAATAACTCGAATTCGCCTGTACCTCCGAATATTCTTATTATAATGTAAATGCGTTTTGTTGCTTTTGAATTACGATATAGGAGTAATTCCGAAAATACTGTAATTCCATATAATATTTTAACAATCGAGTTTAAACGTTAAGTTTATTTTGAATTTTAACCTTTGGGTTTTTTATTAACTTTACGTATTTTTTTCCTTTAATAGGTATTAATATGGAGTAATAACGTGTACAATTTGAATTATACCATCGCATTAGTTTATTTTTAAAATATTTTAATTTAAACATGACGTTACATTTACCGTCCATGCATTATTTGATTAGCTACTTATTATTGGTGCCATAGTATAAATGACGATTTCTGTGGAGTTTTGAGGTTAAAAATAAGTATACCTACTATTTGCGATATTTCCACAATAACCCTCCTCCTCCTGTTTGACATTGTCTGCCTTTATTTACAAATAATTATAAACTTGTATTGGTATAAAACAATAAATTAACTCAAGTTAAAAGTTTAAAGTTTAATTTCCAAATTAATACTTTTAACCTAACTCAAGTAATTGATAAACTCATTATTAACTTAATAATGAGTTCACCCATTAAGTTTTGTTTGGTTTATTTCATTTAACCGAGTTTATATTATTTATTTGCTTACGTGGCCTTGAATTGATTATATTATGAGTAGCTAAAGGAGTCATTATTAAAAAAAAAAAAAATAACCAAAAATAATAAATGTAATTAAGAATTTTACTTTCAATTAGCTAGTAAAAACACTTTAAGGGTGCATTAACCGCAAATGAATAATGCATATTTGCTTATAGTCAGACGTCGCAAAACCAATCGCGAATATTGCAGTTTAAAATGAAAATCACTTTAAATGAATAGGTACTTAAGTATTACAAATATCAATATGTAGCTCTCAAGATTTAAGACAATTATCAGTTAAATAATATAAGAGTTTCGTTAAACTGATAATTTTGTTTAAGCTGTATTATTTTGAATGAAAATTATTTAATTTAGCGTTGCGTAGAAAATCTGGTTTTATAGATTTTTTTTTTTTTTTGTTTTTTAGATATTTAGAGTTAAAATCATTATATAGTGAATAGCGATTTAGAAATTATTTAGAATCGATCAGCGTGAATGTCATTTTAAAGCTAAACTATAGTTAACTATATGTGAAAAGAAGCTGGATATTTGTAAATGATATTAATTTTACGTAAAACTTATATACATATTTACAAGCCATGAATGTTTATGAAAATAATACTTTACATCGAAGCGGGATCAAAAATTAAATATTTTTGAGACTGCAATACTACGTAAATATTTCAGCTGTTCATTACTACATACAAATTACTGCAGATATCTCGGGATTCCAAAGAACATATATAATATGATTATGCATATAAAATCAAATTTAATTTGACTTTGATTATTCCTCTTTCGGTTATGCGTACATATTTAATATACCTTGCTCATACGCCAATACACATTTTAGCAGTTTTAGTCAATAAAATATAAAGCAGTAATCCTATAGACGTAAAACTATTTCAGTCTGGAGATTAAAAAAAAATCCTACACGTAAGACCAGGTATTCGTATTTTACTCGCGAGATTAAAAATCCTTCACGTAAACAGAACGTTTTATAATATACGAGTGTATTCTAAACTATAATAAAACCGTAGGTACGTAAAATATTTGATAACATCGGGCAAGGCGCACTTAGAGAATACCATCCCTCAATGATTTTTTTCTTTTATCCTTGTATACTTGAAATTCAAATACCGAAACGAACGAAAAATATCAGTAATTTATTATATTAAAATAAATAATAATATTTAATTTTGTAGTTTATAAATAACGTCTATTGAAGATGATTGTCTGTTCGCGATAATAATAACAATAAACGCGGAGGAAGTTATTAATGAAGATTTTTGAAATAATATCTGGGAAATTAGATTTCGTGGAGTAAAAAATTATTTTAATTTGCGTGAGTAGTGTTTTTTTATTCATTTAAAATTTTCCATTATATATAGTAAGTAAGAATTCGATGGAATAATATAAAAGGGGAAAAAACTTCATTATCTATACCTATTCCACTATATAAGAGAGAACACGCATAAATAAAATAAGCCATCACTATCGCTATCGCTAAGATAATTCATACAATATTTTCGGTATAAAAAGTACATCGATTAAAACTGCAAGTATAGCAACGATTAATTAGAATTTTAAAAAATTACCACCAAAAAAGTAAAAGAAAAAAAACCGTAAAAATAAATAATTAATAAGTCTACGTCTATTTTTGATGTTTTAAGGTTAATGAATCGAGTATCGTGTATTACAATATTTTTGTTGCATATAAAGTATCTATATAGTATTTTTGTCTATAGATACTGAAAAATCAATGTTTTTATATTAGTATTGAGAGTATAGATTCTCATTTCTAAGTATCTTGTCAATTACCGTTTATTGTACTCTGCATTTATATGTCTTATGCTACTCGCAAATGACCAGGTTGTTCCCTCGCTTAACATATCAGTGTCAATTTGAGTTTTAAAGAATTGACTATTTATAATAGTTATTTTATTATTAATTAGGTTTATACATATTCTTGATACTTAGGGCTTTGATCTGTACAGCTATTATATAAAACAATAATTTATTTTTTCGGCGCAATTACATAAAAAAAAAAAATAATAATAATTATAAATAAATAATTGTATGGTTTTATTTTTATCACAAATATGTATGTACCTATCCTTTAAAAATTAAAGAACTTATTAACCGTCGTAATTATTAAATGAAAATACACGTTTTATTATGTCGATTCGTTTTCATTAACATAATTGAACATAATAAAATGCGTAGGTAGTTTAATAATTATTATTAAAAAAAAAAAAAAAATAGTGAAATTATAATTAATCATAATCACTAGACGCGCAATAATTAAAATGAAATATATGAAAATAACGAATATTTCATTACATCGCGATATTATATTAATTTAGTTGATTTTTTAAAGCCGTTCTCAATTTTCTCGTATTGTTATTGCTGCAGCAGCCCCTTTATATTTTCTACGCTGCAGGTACTTCTCCGTAAGTATTATTTATTACTATCATTTCCTATACAAAAGACTATTTGTTTTTAAGTGCTCGAAATTAATTAATTGCGTTTTACAAATTATTTTTTAAGTCTGTTATACCAAGGTACCTGTTTTAACCGACATTGGCCGTAATTCGAATATTTTGCTTTTGGAAATCAAAGAATTCCGTTGATTGTATATTCGTACAATATAATACATTATTATACGTGTATGACGTATGTACCGTGCGGTTACGATCCAAGTAACACTAAATATTTTGGCCGGATAACCTTTAATATAAATTCCGTTTCCGGAAGTTGATAGGAGTACTGAAATACGCATTTTAGCATAAATTTTAGTTTTATAACCTTCACCGGGTGCACATTCGCACTACAATGATTACTTTTTTTGAATGAAAATATTTATTTTTGACACTAGATTCTAATAGTTCTATTTTTTGCCAGCAAAACTTCGACCGATACAGTTGTTTGCAAAAAATTATAGTTACAAAGAATCTCTGATAATAATTTTGATACAAATATAAACAAAACAGTTTTTCTTCGATAGCGGGGTGTTTATTGATTTTGACAATCCGAGAAAATCCGAAAGAAGAGGTTGACAAAAAGTAGGTTTTTTTATACACAATTCAACGAGGACATGCCCGACTTACGTCACTCCCTTTCACCCCAAAATAGACGACCAGCATAAACTCAAATCTTCAATTTACTGTCAAAGATTCAACTCCAGAGGCTATCTTATTATTATTTGGTTAAACCGACAACGGTATTTTCGATAATTTAACAACAATTTACCCTTGTAAAATGTGTAATAATATAATTTTATTAGAGGTAGAAGCACATAGAACAACGTATAAATCAGGTTATTATTGTTATTAATTGCTGAAGCTGATGTGCCGGGTGAGATCTTTTGAATAGAACTGGGAGGGTCAAGGTTTGGTGTATATATTATAATAACCAGGATCATAATATTGTTGTCCGCTTGATGTATACGAGCAAAATCAAAAGAACGTAAATTAATTTACAACCTCCTCCTCCTCCTCCTCCTACCACGCCGAATTATCCATTGACGGCAATAAATATGTTTTAATTATAATACTATTATCGTCAATATCACGTGATTACGGAATTTCGGTCGCACAGAAAATTATCTCGTGATAACAACAAACAGGCTAATGAACGCCGTAGCTTTCTTCGCGTCCAATGGTTAAGATATTACATGACGGAATTATTTTTTTATCAACGTTTGGTTCATGCACGGTATAACGAATAATTTGCTTTTCATTCCAAATGCCTATGCATAATTCGATTCGTGTTACGGATGGTTCAAAAGCTTTTAAAATAAATGTTCAGGCTCGAATCGCTATCCGAACGTCGTGTGAAATTTATTTGTATTTTTATTTGGAGATTGTCTGTTGAATACGTTTATGTAATCCATTTTTCGGGAATTTAAAAAGACCCTACTATGATGTTTCGGATTAGCCAGCTCTGGGGTTCTTTTACATACGGACGAATCAGACGAATTCTGCCAAGAGAAAATACTTTTCTGTTAAGAATGATACTGATGACCAATGATAAATGATAATTATTCATACCAAGGTCACACTATACTTTTGTTGTATAAATTCTTACGTTTTATTCATCTTTGTTCATTTATTATATTATAAATATCACTTACCCTTATGCAATATCTTAAATACTTATCTAATATATATATATATATATATTAGTCTAAATTTCCTAATGTTCATATACAAACTTAATCCTGTTTTTTTTTTTTTTATTTTATCCGTGAACAACTTCTAACATAAATCTAGCTCCGATTATTTACATCTGGAATGGTTTCTGATAGTATATTTTGTCTATATGGTGCATTGGAAAGATTTTTTTTTGATTTTACTTAGTTTTTTAAATCATTAGGAAAAATCATAAGACACTGAAAATAATGATTTCTGTTATTTTTGATTATTTTTTTCTGTTGTTACTCGGTTGGAGATATTCCTAAAAACTTTAAATGTTCATCGAACCTATATTAACACTTTTTATTAGACGTGGTACAGTTTTCAAAATATTCTAGCGATTCCTGAGCTATTTATTTGAAATTGTCTAATTTTTTAGTTATTTTTTGGTTTTATGTGGATAAAATTGTTTTGACCTAGACAAAATATTTAAATTTAGCACAAAGTTCTACATAAGTAGTAATCAATAAAAAATACAAAATTTCAGCGTAATGTAGTGGTAGTTTTTTATAAGCGTTTTAAGTTGAACAGTTTTTTTTTTATGTTTGCGATACTTTAGTTATTTCGATGAACAGAACAATAACGAAGACCGGTAAACAATATAAACAAAACAAATAATAACATTATTATAAAAAAAGAACCCGGTCAGTACTCAGTATTTAATTTAATTTTTTAAATTAACAAAATTGAGTTTAATATAAATACTATGTATATAAAATACTGTAATTTATCCGGTGTGAGCAGCATAATGCGGGTCAGGTGTGTTTAAGGAGTGGTATTATTATAATAAAAAATTATTATTAGGTAATTGAATTTGAAAAAAAATGGTGAATAATCGTTTGTTTAAAATTATTTTTGTGCGGTCCTGCAGATGAATAGGACGTGAATTAAGTTCATTTTTTTTTTCGATTTTTAGACTACATTATTATTATGCTTTATTCTGAGGGTTTATTATTATCATTTTTTTTTATTCTAAACTCTAGATACCGGTTTAATTAACAACATAAAATCATACAACCCGGTGCAATTCGTATGCGTACAAAACAAATATTAAGTATTCCTAAATTTCTGGCTGGTTCACAATGAATTTCATTAAATAATGCTATTAACAGATATAAAATAAAGTAGAGTTACTGATAGATATGTTTATCCTATATCGATGTGACGAATGGCTTTTAAACAGTTGAGTACCTGTGATTAAATCGAAATAGTGTTGCAAATTTCAAATTTTTTGAAATGCATTTTAGACGAATCTACTGCATTTACCTACACTTAAAACATATATTTGTATCATTCAAGACCGCAGAAATACCACCGACGGCCAATCTATACTTGTAATACCTATGCATTTTAGTGTTTTACCCTCGTGGACCGACAGCTAACGGGACACCGTCAAGGGAGGAGGAACATTTTCCCGACTCTTTTTTCATATTTCTCTATACTTAAATTTAAGTAAACTTAACGGCCGTCTTCAATACGTTTTGTATAGTTTCATAGTTTATTTTCATTTTTAACGATATTTTTATTGTTCGGTCTATTATTCTTTTGGATTCATTATATTTACAGTCGCGGGCGTTATAATAATAATACGTATCGAGTATTTCATAGTGTGTCACAGTGTTTGTTTTAATCGTGACTTTAACCATTTTACTTTGGTAAGTTACGTATCTATACCCGCTCATTATACCTACAATGCCTACATTTTAATGCTCGTACCTACTTAATCGTCGCAGTAAATAATAATAATATATAAAATGACGTAAGTCAAGTGTCTATTATTATATTAATACTGTAGGTACAGAACACATTTTATGCTGTTGTAAGTATTTATAATTTATTGTATTTCGGGTGGTGAGGTTATAGCAATGTTAATAGCTATATTTTCTTTGTTTCAACTATATATATATATATATATATATATATATATATATATACACATGTATTATAATTCATTTAAACGTTCTACACGGTAACCTCTATTATTATACGTAGTAGAAATAAGGTTAGGTCATTTCTAAAATAATAATAATAATATATTTATATAGGTAGTGAAATTTACAACGTTACTTTAGTTTTCAAAATGTACGTATACACAGTCTATAGAAAAATAACGATATATAGTGACTTCTTTTTGTACCATTTACCAAAAATGTTTATCTCCGAAGTCGTTATAACTGCCCACTACATTTGCACGGTTCCTAAATTTGGTTATATACAAATACGGCGTTTTGTTTGGCTTTAATTCAGATCACTCGCCGCTACCTCCCTACGTACATTACTGTGCGTGGCTATGTATTCCATTTCTTATTTCTTGGCCCATCACATCTTTCGGGTTTTGAGAACTCGTATAACGTCGTATAAGTTCGTTAAACAGAGACCTCAGCTCTGTGTCGTCCTCCATTCATATGACGTTAATACATTTCTCGTTTTTTCGAGACCGAAATTATACCTACATTAATTTATCATATCGCCTGAAGGCGATCAAATCGGAAAAAAAAACCGTGTCTCAATATCATTATTAATAATACGTTACTCCAAAATATTACTCAATAATATTTATTGCAGTCGATCAGTAATAAAACTCAATCGTGATTATTGGCGACCGTTTTTCCAAAATTAAAATTTCACCTTAAATAATGTTGAATAATCGAAATATTGCTTCGTGCATAATTTTATACTTCGCTGACACAAAATACTTGAAAGTTTGTATTGCGGCAATAAAACGAATTCGTGTTGAATACGAATACGGAATCCATTTCTTTTATCATAAATAACCAGTGATTATCCACCAAGATTGCAATTTATTAAATTCGATTTCGATTTATTTTTCAATCGTTCTATAGAATCATGCTTAACAATCACGTTAAAAATATTTTCACCCTTATTCCATGATTTCACAAAACAGCGATCCATATTTTTGTATCCACATGTTTAAGTGTTCCTTCTGGTATTTTTTAACACTATTATAGAAATCATAAAAGATAGTCTTATATCTATGGTCTGTTTATAGAATGTGAATTCGTTTCACCTACAAAAATAATGAGTGACAAAAAGTAACACCAATGTAACATTTTAAAACTGTTTATTCCTTAAATTATAAAAAAAAAAAATATATCGAAAGTCAATACTTCATGAAATATCAAGTTTAGCTATTTAAATGGATCACTCTGTACACACACACACACACACACACAACCAGGACCAGGACTACTATCTTGAATTCGCTACTAATACATTATAATATTTAATCAGTAGTCAGAGCACATAAAATGACAAGAATTTTCTTTTTCATCATGATAATAGATAATAAACCACAATATTATTCACATTTCTTAAACCTTCAAATAAATAGTTTTAGAAAATAAAAGACCACGCTTAAATAAAAGTTTTAACCACCAAAACTTTTCAAAAATGTATTTTACAAAATGGCTTTTTAATTTTTTAAAAAATTATAGTAAAATTTAGTTCCCCTGACTAAAAAAAAAAATATTGGATTGAACTGAAGTTATTTTAACATCGAAATGTATTTGATTTAATACTCCGTCTATTTATGGAATTTTTTACTATAGATTCGAAAACCGAAGTCAGTAGGTATCGCTGTTATACTGCAGGACACTCCTCGGTGAAAACCCCGAGCATTCGAGAATATCGGATTTAACTGCGAATTCCGAAAACCGGCGTACATTATGCAAAATTTGACCGCGAAAAAAAAAACTATGGTTCGCGCGCTTATAAATGAATCGTCGTGCATATATTTGGTTTTTTTTTTTTTTGTTATTTATTTATTTTTATTTTTTTTTTTTCTGGCGCACTTACGGCACTTCAAAGTTTATACGGTACTTTGGGTACCATTTAATACGGTCGCCGTCCGGCGGCCGCCACACAGTAAATAATAATAATAATATTATGTAAATCGGCTAATATCGTAAACGTGTTCGGACGCGTCGGCCGTATTATGCTAAAATATCGGGTCCCGCGCGCGCCGCGTGCGATTAATGGAACGCGCGCGCACGCACGCGCACCCACACACACGCACGGGCGCACACACACACATACGCACACACACACACACACACAGCGCCGACTCGATGTAATAATAATAATAAAATTATGCGCGGGACGTTGTCGTGACGGATTTCAATTCCGGCCCCAATCCGATCCCGTTGCCGCCCGTCGGGCGAGAATGGCGCGCGCGAGAACCGACGACGACACCGCGCGGCGTTCGAACGGTCTCGGTCATACGCGACTGTGTTATTACGGTTAGCCCGGTTACGCGTGTAATAATAATAATAATAATAATAATAATGATAATAATACGCTCGGGGACAAAATACGAATTCTATACCGCCGCGCCGGGCACGTAATAGTGTTTTGTGTCGCGTGCGTCGTTATGCACGACGTTCGCACCCCCGCACCCTTCGGCAGCCGCCGCAGGTGTTCGGACGCGATATAAAAACACCACCGAAGGAGCTGGATGGGTGGGGGTAGGCGACGACGAAAACCGTTCCGCGCCCGAAAAAAAAAAAACGGAGATTTTCGTTAAGTTTTTATTTTCTAACCCACGTGTCGCATGCCGGACCGCGTTTAAATGCGTCCGATTCGAATGGCCACTATAATTCAGTATTCGGATACGCTCAAGTGTCATAATAATAATATACAAAGCGATTCTTTCGTATCGCGAATCGACGTTTCGAGTGAATTCTCAATTTTGGTTTACCCGCCTCCCGTCCGCCATTACACTTATTACGGTTATTACAGGTACGCGTTTTGGTTGTATTCGTTTTGTCGACACGCGTACAAATATCCCTTCCCACCGTGACGCAATGGCCAAATCTCGGACCCCTACACCACAAAAAGTCAGCCCGTTGAAATAGTGATATCCACATTATGACCGAGTTATTGCTATTTCTTTAGTCCACGACCTCACTTCTCTTCTTCTTTTACGATCGAAACTGCTCTTTTCGAGGAACGAGCATCAGGACTTTTTTTCTGACGCTTAGATTTTCGTCGAGGATACCATTCCTTTTTGCTGGCTTCAGCGAGGACGTCGAAACATTGTTCAATATTTCATAGGTCACTGAGTTTAATCAGCTCACCTATGTTAATTTCGGAATATTTTATCTCATATAGTATAGTTATGCGTCTCCGCTGAACTAATACTTAAATAATTAACAATATGGCTTCGATTACATCGCCGTTGTCAATAATCTGTTTCTTAGGAAAAAGTAATGTAGTTTCGCTAAAAACGAGTCGAAAACGGAAATCAAATACATTGTTTGAAATAGGCCGTTTCGTTCATTTACGCGCAGCACGGGAATCTGTTATTTATTAATAAACCCATTCTAATCAAGTATTTAATTTCTGATCGAATTTAAACCTAATTCCAGAACCTTACATTTTAATTTGAACGTGAACCGATTTCTTGAAAATCAATTTATTTTTCAAATCGAGTAAATCTATACATATCACTTCATGCAATTAATACTGATCGACATAATTTTGAAAAAATGTCAATTTTCAGATAATTTTACTTACACTTACCTTGGTGCCATTTTTTACGGTTTTACCTTTATGGAAAGTGCCTTATAATTCGAATTACGAATAATTGAGTAAGTTAGTAACAAAATTACAAATTATGAAAATCTCTCTTTTTGAAAAAGCCCAATATTAAGGGATTCATTTTGTCCTTAGCAGTTTAAATTTAATTAATGTTTTCAAAAGTTTCAAAAGTTTATCTTAAGAGAACACGATAAAGAAATGAGGAAAAACGGATTATAGTTTGCATACTGGCGTGCTGGCCGGAATTTAGTTTGGCGTACAGTCCTGAGCTCAGACGTATACTTGAATTGGACCGTAAACCTCCGTACGCGAACGAATTTCACTTTATGAGAGGCGGGGTGGTTATTTAAATCGCCCGTGACGATTTGAAAAAAAAAAAAAAAATTTATAAAAATTTCACTATGAACACGTGCCGCCACATGTGTACCCAAGCACACCGCGGTACGTTAACACCGACGAGAGTCGTAATATTATTATTATTATTATTATTATTTTTGTGCTCACTCGGGCGCGCGGTCCGACAAACGGTTGCGCGTCTACAGGGTGTACTTAAGCGTATAAAGCGCGTGTAGTATATCCCGTACAATAACGCGCGATGCGAAATACGTACCGAAATTCTCAAATTGTAATTGACGGGAAAAAAACATACTCGGAATATCCGAAGGAACGTTAACGGCCGTGCTCGACTGGACGGTACACGCGCGACGTGCCGGACGGGATCGCCGGGAACACGCGGAGACCGCGGCGGACAAGGGAACCGGAAAGCGGGACGAGTGTGGCCGGCAGCTACAGCGCGGGAGTAGATTTGAGGTTGAAGTTTCCGCTTTTCACTTCGACGTTTCGGAGATCCGGAGAATCTTCAACGTAACCGCGGACGGTATCGAAAGGCCCGGCCCGCCGGGCGAAGGGACGGAGAAGATGCGCGCGTACGCGCACCCGGTATACACCCGGCCGGTTAGGTAACATGTGCCCGCCGTAACCGTAAAACCGCGTTCGCGTTTCGCCCGCTGCCGCGCGATCGTTCGTGCTCGGCGTACCTTGACTCGGGCGGCAGTCTCGCCGCCGGTCCGGCCTCCGGAGACCCTCGCGCGCGCCCGCCGATGACGGTAACATTGCTGTTATTACTGTTCGTCGGGTATAACGATACAATAAGTAATAACACTACGCGTGCTCGTACGCGCTGTATTATATAAAAACACGCGGCGCGTTGTATTATTATAATCGCGCTCATTAACAGGTGCGCGCCCGCGTACGAACGCCACGGTGCACCTATACACCCGGCGCGACGACGACGACGACGACGCATCATATGTGTGTGCACGAGCGATAACGATTATTATTATTATTATTTTATTTTTTTTTTTTTTTTTTTTTATAATATTTTACGGTCTGCTGCCGTACTTTACCGTACTTGCGCGCACTTAGTTATCCGAGAACCGCACGTACGCGAACACGTGCGCCGAAAACCGACCGTTCCCGTAATTCGTGTTGTGTACGCCGAACGTTATAATCCTAACCTAACCGCAGTGGTAAACGTTGACAAGTGCGGTGCGCAAACAGCGAGCGGTTTTGTGTTTCGTTTTTCAAATATCGGCGAATGGCATCGGCCGCCGTCGGGACGTCTCCCGATTTCGCCGGCCACGTGTTCCGCGGCGACGTTCCCGGTCGTTATCCCGGCGGGTACCGTGGACGATTCGGCCCCCGCGACGCGTCAGAAAACAAAACGATAATATTATAGAAACGATTCGTAAAAAAAAAAATAAACCGTTCGCCCGACCGAGACTAATAAACTCTGATCGATTCGATCTCGCGAGACCTAAACGTTTATGTGTTCTGTTTTTCAACTCGACGCCGTTATATCATACTGTACGAGACGAGTGGTACGGGCACCGGGATTTTCGCGATTATAACGGATAATTCGCCCGCGCATGTATCGCGATTGCCCGTTGTAAACCGTCCGCGGGCGATACGTCCCGTCGACGACGAAACCCCGGAAGGAATCGGTTTATTATATTTTTATGTTGTCGAGTTTTTCCGCTTTCGTGCGTGTACGACTGACGGGTTCGCCGCTGCACGGAATCATAAAGACATCGGCTCGTAATTCATTCGGCGGCGGCAGTTGTATTGTCAATATAAATATCTCACGATATTTTTTTCCCGTCGATTTCCCATCGGACCGGACGCGCGGTTTTTCAATTCGCACTCCTTCCTTCTTCCCCGATCTCCTTCTCGACAGCCTCTCCGCTGCCATTAAAGTTTTCGCTGTCTGCTCGGAAAATAAAATATCGTTCGCCGGTGATTATTTCCTTCACCTCACTTCTTGAGGATTTATTCTGTACACGGACCGGACGAGCCCCCTCGAGATATCTCGGGTTCCCCTCGTATCTTTTCCGAGCCAAACGTTTTCGGGGGGCTTCCCACGGGATATTTTACACTTTATTCGTCCGACACGCAACAAATTTACTATCGAAACAAAATTTTATTTGGTTTTATTTTTATATATATATATATATACCATAGGAAAAACACATTTTATTTTCTAGGACGATCAGTTTTCCGCGGTTTACCGTTATTTTCACGTGTGGCGATTTGTTTACGGACATTTTTATTAGTATTCGATCGTTAAATCGAAAGGTTCAAATTTCGTTATATTGGTAACGGCCAAAAACGCACATTTTTATCGAATCAATAATCTGAATTTAATTCGTTAGCGTGATATTCAACGACGGTATTGCTCGTAAAACACAGGACCTTCGAAGATAATCCAGAACAAACGAAAAGGTGTTGAAAAACTGTAGTATCGAATACTTCCCGGGATATACCGAGAACAGTGTATATAAATCGCGTTTCCGCAAAAGTCTATTTTCACGATATGCCACCCGAACTGAAACCTTACAATAGTTGGCTATCGTAGTAACTGTACTCCATCCGAAGCACTATTTCGACCGAAAGTCATCCGAAAGCGAGTGTGATTTCTGCAAACATTTCCAAAACACTTATACCGCCATTTATTATACCGTCGTTTCTCTTCGATTACGTTCGTTTTCAAAACGCATTTTGTGAAATATCATCCACGGAGACAATATAGCGGTGTTCACCTACAATACGTTTTCTCGGCTAATATCTCACCGCGCGGGGGAAGTTCGTTAGTTCACAGTTCGTTCGGCGGAACGTTTCACTGCGGAACGACATTGGGAGAAATACAATCATCTCGGCAGGTGAAAGAAATTGGTTTCGGGTATTTTCGCGAGATTTTAAGGCTAAGTGAAAGCGAAACGAAGAAGGAAACGCTCGCATATAATATATTATAACGGATACACGGGGGCGTCCGTCGGTGCCGGCGTCACGGACGTTTGATTCGGGTTCGCCGACGCTACCGGGTGTCTCGGAAACGATAACATTATCATCAGCGGGTGCGCTGCAAATGCAACACGCGCCGTATACGCATTAACGACATTACGCCCGGGGCGGGCATTCTACGGGGTCGCACGGGTACTCTGCTACGACCGCGAAATCTGACTGCGTAAATCCGCGGGGAAAAAACGAAACGAATATCGCATACCGTTATATTATCGGAAACGGGGCCGGTAATACGGTCGGATTCTGTCGCGATCGCGCCCGGCTGTTCGTATACCGCATCGTACACCCGACCCGACCGATAACCCGGACATGGAACGGAAGGCCGTCAGCCGGTGGGAACTCTCGTCGCACTTTTGGGCGGAAAGCGATCCGCCGGAACCGTGTGACGCGGCGCGGGGATTTTTCCAAAAGTGCGCCCGGCAGCTGGACCGGCTGACCGCCGACAAGAGGGTCAAGTACCGGTTGCAGTCGTCGTCTACCGCCCGGGTGGGCCGGCAGAAGGAGTGCGGTGCAGGCGGTAGTCGTCGCGATAATAACGACGTCGTCGGCAGTGCGAACGTTGTGGACGGCCGTAAAAACGCCACTCGGACGCCGTCTCCACCGTCACCGCCCCCGCCGCCGTGCGTAATCAAACGAGTCGACGATCGGCCGTTCACGACCGCCGCCGCCGCCGACCGCGAAACCGAAAAGTTCGGATCCGTTCCGTTCTGCGAGGTGAGTGTGTGTGTGTGTGTGTGTGTGTGTGTGGGTACGTCATCGTTGTTCACGATGTGAATTTATCGCGTGCACTACAAAACTTTCAAAAAAACAAGCGATCCATTACTGCGGTTTTTTTTTTTTTTTTTTTTTTAACGGATTAATAAATGCATTTGAAAATCCTCGAAATGCCAATATATGCAATCGTGTTTTTATTGATAAGAAAAATGCACGTAGAAAAATAAATAAAAAACATGTCCCCCGCAGTGAAAAATGTTCTACTAAATAAATATCGGATGAAATTCATGATTGATCTTGTTCGGTTTCGAGTAAAAAACGTTTGTGCAATACGGTTTATGACGGTTATCAAATCACTTTGGGCGCATTTATATATTGTACGGTTGAACGTCCACTGTGTGACCAAGTAAACCTGTAACACTGTTATCAGTCGGCACGGTGAAAAATAAATACATTTCTAATTTTCGACGAGCGAAATAAGTGTAGTGGCTTTTGTTCGCGTAATAACGTCTACGTTTCACGTCTGTGCATAACTACCGACCGAATCTTTAGATTCCTCGATATCATTCTTACACACTTGGTAATTATTCAGTTGACCCGCAGAAGCATTTATTTCCCGCTCGTACATCTCGGTCGATGCGTTATTATTTTATAACAAAGGCGAATCTAAATACCCAAACTGTTACACTATCTCGAATCCGCAGACACCCACCTCCGAGTGCATACCCTTAATATGATCTATCTACTATTATCCGCCGGATCATAATGTATTCCGAATATATTTCTTTCTTTTGGAAATATCCTGTCTTTATTATGCACACGTATCGTGCGTATGACGAGACGATAATTCATTCTCCGCCGTGTTATGCACGAGTGATCATTTTAATAACAACGATAGCGTTATTATTGTTCCGGGCAAAAGCCCAGACCGGACGGATGGTAGCCTAATGTCCGGGCACACCGCCAACTTCGCGGTTAAAACGTCATAATCATTTCCTATAACCTTTTGCCCGGAGAGCCGAACTACTATAAGCCATATTTTTGCCGGATTACGGACCGCCTAAAATATATAATATTATAATAAATGGCGTATGTGTTGTCGTCTGACCGAACGGATTGCGAAATTCGGCCAAAATCCAATTATATCATATTGATGATAAATAATAATTTAATATTTCAATAAGACCGCAAATTTCCGCGTCATTTTCAATCGCATAAATCATTTTACGGGCCAAAAAAAAAAATACAAACCGCGTTCAAGAATTTAATGTTCTCGTTTCCGACGTCTCAGTGTCATCTGTGTCATCTGTGGTTTTCGTATATGAAATAAAAATAACATAATATTCGACACGTTTTTCGATTATGGTCGCGATTTCGGCGCAAATTTGTACCAATAGACATCGATATTTTGCAAGTAAATTTCAGAATTTGAAAGTCCGTTCGCGAATCATTTTTTTTTTCTTTTCTTTTCGAGCGCACCTAACATGCACCTCTCAGCATTATCATTTCGGTATAACAATAATTATTATTCTCCAGTATAATAGGTATTTAATATTTTTATTGCACACATGTATATCTATATATATACGCATAAATTATTCCCAGATTTGGGCGAGATTTCCAATCATTGGATTTTCAAATAAATAAACATACATGTTTTTCTTTTAGTCTGTGGACACGATTTTTTCTAGTAAACTTGTTCCGATCATTACGTGTAACAACTTTTCCGAAAGCTCCAGTTGTCTAAATTGTACTTTAAAGAGATCATTTTTTTGATTTTCAACGCCATTTTTTAAATAAAAGCACTTAAGTGGGAAAAAAAAACATAGTAAAACGTACAGTTTTACGATTTCATTATTTTATAAATACACGAACGATGTTTTCTACCAGAAAAAATGATTTATTCGAAAAATCACAAGATACATTTTTGATTTATTTTCTTACTGTGTCATTGCCCAAAACTTTTGAGCTTTTATTTTGAGCTGTATTTCGGTTATAATTACACTTAGAGACTTAAAACTTGGTAATAATACTTATATTGGATTTATTTAGACGTGATAAAATTTCCAAAATCATCGGATGTCTTTTTTTTTTTTAATAAGCGTTTTGAAATCAAATTTAAACGAAATTCGCCAAAAAAATTATGGTACTTCAAATTTTGTATTACTGAATTGCGCTCGGAATCGTCTTTCGTAAAGCAATGGTTTATCGTTGCTTACAGGTATAAAAAAAATATCCTTATGTATCCTAGCTTCCCAACTTCTCACCTACAACCGTGGCCGATTCCATCTCCAGTATCAACTCTTTTTTTGTTTTTTGTGGATTCTGAACTTTGAATTTTCAAATATCTTGTGCGAATTTCAAACATCTTTTGAAAATCGTTTTGTTCTGTTTTAAATTATCGATTTTGGATTGAGATTTTTAGGAACTCATTTTCATCCATATTTTGATTTTGGATTTTGAAAATCCAGTTTTTAGATTTGGATTACGGAATCTCGGATTATTTTGGTGAAAATATTCCAACAAACGCGTACAGGATTGTTATTTTATAGTATCAGATTACCGAACCACAGTGACGTCTCGCCTTGTGAAAAATTCGCGTTTCGACCGATTTCGGTTCGTTGGTGTTTTATCAGGAACAAAATATATACACATGTATCCGTTTATAATAACGATTATTCGGTACGGCCGAATTACGAGAATTATGACATTTGATAATCGTGTACCTATATATTGTATTCCTATTGTTGATCATCGTCTCGTCTATCGGCCGACTTGCTCTCGTGTTTCCGCCGACAGAACAATATGCCTATTATAATATATACTTATATACGAACTCCGTCGTCGTATTTTTGTTTTTCGTCCGTTTGATTTACGATTATATTGTGAAGGACGGCGGGGCGGGTAGTGCGGTTTTTTTTTTTTTATGTCTTTTGTCCGTCCTCGTCGGCGGCGCGTTTTTCCCTCGGGAAAACGCGCGCGAAAAATCGTTAACGGAGACGATCAGCCGCGAAAAAAAAAACCGTGTATATATACATACATATACACGAGTACCCCGGTGGTTTTTTTTTTTTTTTTTTTTAATCGGTTCCGCGAATTCCGATTTAGATAACTGAGAAAAACTACGGCCTCGAGCGAACGTAATTTAATATAATATTATATTCGAGTATAACAATTGGTTTTATAATAAATTCATTATAAAACCAATGGTGTAATTTGGTATAAAAAAACGAAACAAAAAGAAAACACATAATTTACACACAGCGTAGTATTACAAATTGTACCAAATCGTTAGAAATATTAACTTGCAATTAAATGGTAAAGCGAAATATTTCAGTCTGACGGACTTGTAGCGTATGGTGTACACTTTTTGCCTACACTATCACTTTCCATTATCGTCGGAGTATGAATAACACAAATTCTATATAATGGTGCGGTGTAATAATCTGTTATCTACAATAGTGCACAACGATTATTGTGATGATGCAGATTAAACTTGATAAGCGTTTTGTATACGACCAGTGGGTACTTTAATTTGATAACTGTTTTAAAATTAACGATATAATATTACGATGAAAAGACAATGCCAATTGATCCGCTTCATATTAGCCATAACAAATACACTCGGAGGGTCGTCTCGCTAGTGTACGCGATCAAATGAAGAACACTAATATTTTTAAATGAGAATTTTTTTAATTTTTTTTTCTTTTGGAACATCTGGTGTATCATTTTAAAACACATCTTGAGCCTATTTACAAAATTTAAACCGTTACGACGCGTGACGTTGGTTTTTTCAATAAAACTTCAATGTTTCTAAACGAAAACGCCTGTTTTTAATACCGGATTCGAATAATTAAATTTTTTCAAGCTACTTTGACAAATACAATTTTTCTTTTTATCTAATATGTTGTGATTTTGTATTAATGTGTGTATAACTTCATGGTTTTATCTTTGCTCATAATCCACTCTCACCCTACAGTTTCCTTTTCACCACTATAGTCGAATTTCTTCACTCAAATGTCGTTATATGTATTGCATTCTTTTTGAAATCATCGAAAAAAAAAAAACCATTCAAATACAGTATACAGTGTATACTGTATATAATATACAGTACACACTCTATACAAACGCCGTAAGAATAATAACGACGCAAGAGTGTATAATTTTATTTTGAAATTTCCACTAATGCAAACACGCAAGTAAACCGAAATTATATTACGTATTTTTTTTCGATACCGTAAGTACGTCTTTTCCGAAAAATAACTGTTTAATCCACCGATGTATTTTCGTACGTTATCGATTATTTCATTCCCTACGCCAGCATAATTACGTATAAACATCGAGCAATAATATAATAATTTATTATTTATCATTTTTCGTTCTTCGAATAAATTCGAAGTCGATGGGTTGTTTTTCGCCGCCACCAACCAATTTATTATTGTTTTTCTTGACACCCACCTTTCCACCCCTATTCATTTTGTCGTCCAAATATATACGAGTATACATTGTGATTAAGGATATAAAACATGTTTAGTATATTTATTATTACTCGCGCGATGTTCTTATACACTTGTGAGTATATAAACAATACTACATCTTATAATAATTATTTTTAGTAATTTCTATAAATGATACAAAAAAAGAGCTGATACTGGTTTTGGATGAGCCACTGTTGAAGGCCGAGAGTTAGGAAGATGAAATATACAGAGTAATTTAAATTTTACCTGTACCAAACGATAAACCGTTGTTAATAATAATTTCTTAACGTTGTTAACAATATTCGGTTAAATATAATGTTTTCAAATGCTTTAAGTTTTATGACTTTCGTGAAATTTTAAACTTTAAACGCTAGTAAAAACCATTATGTTTTTTTATTGTTATTATGTTTTAACTGTTATGTTCAATTTGTATTTTTCGAATAATAATAGCAAAACTTTAGACTAATATCGCAATAAAAATGTTAGCGTTATTACTGGGTGAAAACAATTGTATCCACATAAAAACTATGCAAATTTGAACATTTCAAATGGTTATAACTAGCTCGAAAATCGCTAAATTTTTTTTTGTAATGTCTAGAAAGGGCTAATGAAAGTATTCGATCTACATTTTTGGTCTCTACAATTATTTTTAATCGAATTACATATTAAAAAAAATATATACATATCGAAATCTCAGTAAGCGGTTATTGTGCAAACTTTATCTTATTTCCTCCCGTATAAACCCCATTTTTAAGGAAATTACAAGGAAAATAAAAAATAACATCCATTATATATTTATAAGATCGAAAATCGCACAAAAAAATTCGTATTAAGTTTTTAATTGGAATACAATTTTTAGTTTAAAATGTGTAACAGACAGAAAATAAAAAAAAAAATCGGTTTTTTTTTAAAAGTTTTCAAGTGTTAGCAATCGTTGAGTACAGATATATTTTAAATTTTCCTTCTACCTTCCCAATTTCTCACCTATTACAGTGGCCCACCCATTGTGCGAAATATGTCCGTTTGTTTTATAATACGTATTTGTAATAAGGTAGTAAATATAAAACAGGCAAAACCGTGGAGAATTCAATACTCGACTGTGAGACTAAACGATAATTATAATTACCATCAAACCTGCATACTCGTAATACAAAAATAATATTTATTGTAACATTTCAAACACAAATAAAATAAAATTATCATCATAAGTTCTTCTTAGTGTCCGCTTTGCACGCCCGTTTACATAATGATAATATACGAACCCATTTGGCAACAAAAAGCGTTGCAAACGCTCATTTCAGATTATACAATTTAAAACGGCAACACTATAAAACCAATTGTATATAACAACTCCCTCGTTTACGAGCCTTTATTATTATTATCAATATCATGCTTGTCATATGCATATGGGAGTATCGAGTGGAAAACGGTTAAAATGTCTCTAAAATGAAAATCGCGACATAAAAAAAAATAATTTTAATAGTAGCTAACGTTCGCTTAATACTAACATTTATATATTTGGTTTGATATTTTTCAGAGACTGATACAAGTATATAATATCTTTAAAAACAAATAATAATAAGCGTCCAAAAACCTCATAATTTTAATAGAAGCACTGAAATAAAAAATTTAAAAACAATAAAATTAGTAAAAAAAAAAAAAAAAAATAAGCAATCAAAAAATAGCAAAGAAAATACATTTTGATTTATCACATTAAAAATGAAGATTATTTTTACAAAACTCAAAAACTTAACATACTTAAATTTGTATATGCATAATAATAGCTCTCAGTATGTTTTTATGTCAAGTCAAAAAAAAAAAAAAAAAAGATTTGTTTTTTTTTTTAATTTTAATTATTTTAAAATGAATAGAAATTTCAGTAAATCTATAATAAGCCTAAAAAAATTGGACTATAAAAACCAAAGAATTTCAAAATTAGAGATGCTTAGACATATTTTTGTCCAAGCTAAATTCTGAATATATACTATGCCGTCTATAATGTTATATTGAAGAAAGTTCATAAAATGTGTCAGGCTGTAAATTTAAAAAATCGACTCATAGCAAAGTTAAGTTAAATATGTTTTGATAAATTTAGTGAATTAAAAAATATATTAATTTATAATACTAAATAAATTACAGTTGTTCTAAATTTTGAAGTACTTAATAAATTACAATAGTTTTTAAAAGAACTGATACAAGTATTCAGTGAAAAATTCATGTCACTACATTTGTTATTAAATAACAAAAAAATATATAAAATCTAAAAACACAAAAATCGTTATTACGTAAATATTCAAGTCGCTCCATTTTTTCCCCTAGTTATTCAAAAAAAAAATAGACAAATCAAAACAATAATCTTTCAATACACCAACTAGACAATATTTGGTATCAGAAACCACCCCTGAAGTTGATGTTTAGAACAATATAATAATAATAAAGTTCTTCATAAACAGAAAAAATAACCAACATAGTGAAATCAATATATTAATTTTTATGTTCTAAAAAATAAAAAAAATTTTTTGTTTTAATAATTTATCAAACTGATTTTCGATTAGAATTATATTTAGATTTAAATTGAGGTACCTGCTAGTGTTTCGTCTCCTCTAAGTATAATATCATTAGCGCGTCCCTTTAAAATAAACTACGTTTTATAATATTCGTATATGTAAATTTCTTGACTCATCTCTTGTTAATTTTTAAGCACAAAGACCTTACTCAAAAGTCAACATTTTAATGACGCCGCCACGCCGGTAGGTGTAACGGCAGCTCAGTGTGATCGAAGTAACAGACGAGGGTCATCGTAGGGGTTGAGTGACATTTGCGGTTCCCTTATCGAAAATCAAAAACATTTTCGTGCGCACATAACGAAAATAATTTTATAGAAATGCAAATTTCGTTCTGGTTTAATGTTAGACAATTATTATTACGTCAATCAACGTATAAAAAAAAATTAATAATAATGTGAGTTAGGTTTAACGAACAGATTTTTTTTAATGTATGAGACAAATAAATAATAATTAATAGTACCGAAATTTAAAAAAACACAACAGAATAGTTGATTGCTAGATCAGAAAAAAAATAGAGGGAACGATGAACTGTATAGTTGTGAAAAGATTAATAATTTTAAATATATAGTAATAGAACTTAATAGATAAAATAATTATTATTGCTATTTTGCATTGCAGAAACCCTAAAGTCCCAAGCTTTTATAAAAAAAATGGAAAATGTTCATATATTAAGTTTGGCCAGTTGTTAATACGTATGTGAAACTTGACTAACCAAAAAAAAGAACGATAGATTGCAACACTGGAAAGAAAATTCTTTTGGCGAATATTTGGACCAAATAAAAATGAGCAAAACTATAACTTAAGAACTTATGACGAATTAAAAATAAATTCTGAGAGAAGAGAAGAGAGGTACTAAATACTTGAAGGAAAAAAAAATGATTTGTCTATAATATTATAGTCTATAGATTACATACATGCCTATATGGGATGGTCAAATAGCATAGTGCGAGATGTATCAAAATGAAAACCAGTAGGTAAATATCGGACCGAAAAAATATGGATGGATTAAATCAAAATATTCCGAAAAAAACCCATGATGCTGAAGGCAGGCAGATGGATATGACGTCTAAAAATTCTGGTTCGCGATAAAAAATGATTCAGTTTATATTACTATTTCTGTTTTTTGAAATGGTCTTCTCCAAATGCGGTTTAAACAAACTGTACACGTGTATACAAACTTGATGTTACTTCATTGGGAGTTTTCAAAATATTATTTCTAAGGCGAACTTATACAGTGTAATATACGAAATCGTGTATAGAAAATTGTAATGTAACTATTAGGAAACACTTAGGAGACATTTAGAAAATATTCTAATATCATGTTTAATCATAAATGCGTTAAACTAAAGAATAAGCACGTTCCAACTCATAAGTATGTAAAAATATAATATTTACCATATTCAAAACGCATAAATAAATACTTAATTTACTCGAAGAGTCACCGTACAAAATAATACCGCGTCTAGAAATAAATCGACATACCGAGTATACTGAGTGTCACCAAAGAGAAAAAAAACCGCGTAAATATTTACGTTTTCCCCCGTTATTAGCAGAACGAGGAATTTCAAAAAAAAAAATACGACGTAACTAATGCAATAACCAGATCCAAAAAAAGCGCATATGAAGTTATTGTTTCGTGTAAATATTATTCAAGTCGAAAAATTGTTAACACGTGTTGAAAACAAAAAACCATAAGTCATCGTCTCCTCTCAGAAGCTTGAAACTATTTCCATTATTGGTGTATTTCGAGAGTAAGTATAATAGGTATGTCAAACTCGTCGGAGGTCTATTTTGCGGATGATAAATGATATTGAACTGTAATGAGTAAACTATAGCTTATAGTATTCAAAATATTCCCACAAAAAACGTGTTCAAATTTTAGATTATTGTCTGTATGCATTTTTTTTATATAATTTCGAAGTTGTACTGATAAGAAATATATCCGATGATCATTGCTGTAAAATCGATTGTCTATCGTTGAAAAAGGCAGTGTGAATAGGGGGGTGAGAAGACGAAACACTACTACATTTTTTTTTTTTTTTTTTAGCATCCCCTTATTAATTATTTCTATTGAGACGAAGGGACGTATAGGTTAGGTATGTTACCTATGTCCGAAAATCTTGAAAATAACTCGGATGCGTATTTTAATACTGTAAATCGTTTATCCTTTAGAATAATTTAATATTATAAATTATAATATTAACAATGGTAATGTACATAAAATAAATAAATATAAAAATTGGTTGTATCTTCTTTTTCTTAATTACCTAAAATTGAATTATGTTTGAAAAGCAATGTACGGAGGTGGGGTATGAGTTCGATAATTTCAAGGGACACTATTGTTTTTTTTTTTTTAAGTTATAGTCTTTATCTCATAGACGCTTTATCGGAAACGTACAGTTTAGGTTATGTTATTATATAAAATAATATTCCTCTCTCGTTGGGTCAGAAACGCAAAGGGAAAATTCACCGACAAAATATAACATTTATTATAATTTTTTTTTTTTTATCTAAAACAGCTCAATTACATGTTCGTGTAAGCTATATATTAAGTATCTATTATACGGATCGACAATTTAATAGGTTTACGTGTAAATAATACGATATCGCCGATGCGAAAAAAAACATTGTATAGATATTACAAATCGATATTTTAATTTATCGCTGCATAGATTAGATTATTATACTGATGCACCGATGCTTTAAAAAAAAAAAACTCTTTTTTTTTTCTTTTTTTAGAAAGTACCCATTCCCCTAAACACTATGTCTACGTCGCGTATATTGGAAAATGTTATTATCACAATATCGTCTACCTATCTCTCTTATTGCGATACGCAAAATGTAGCAAAACTAAATTAACGTTCTTTATTTATTTTTATTATTTTTTTCTTCGTGTGTGAAATTTCTAAACCACTCGGTACACGCAGTACCCTATCTGCCTATCAGTGTGTTTCGTATATCATTATTCAACTGAAATTGTATTACGTTTTGCGTGCTGCTGCACAATGGTAGTAAAAATTATACGCCCCGTAATTTTTTCGATTATTATGTTTATATAACTATAATATTAACTTGCACAGCTATAGCCTAGTGCTATTATTATTGTTCAATATTTTAGATTTTTTTATTTTTTTTCCGCGAGTTTGTTTGGGTGAACATAATACACAAATATTATGTTCACGGCTGCGATCGTTACGACCGAGTATCCGGTATGAAATCGTTAATATTGCAGCAGCCGCAGAAGCCATTCTTTTTATACTCGCCGAGTTATTATTTTATTATTAGATAATTCGAGTTTATCTCTCTCCGGCGTTGTTGCTGTTGTTATTATTGTGCAATTCGATTTATACGGTTTTTCGCGATATTCGTTGCATCCGTTTTAATTTTTAACGCAGTCGCATTATCCGTATTTTCATTACAGAATTATAAGTATAGGTGTACACAAAAAATATACTGTTGTTTCGTGTTATTTAAACCCGAGGGGAAAAAAAACAAAATATAGTTTTTTGACCTCCGTGGGTAAAGTATTAACAATTTCATTCGTATTCTATTATTATTGTTTTCGCTTTGACATAATAACATTGTAAAGTTTAAAAAAAAAAAATACTGAATTATTGCCCAATGTACGTTTTCCAATACCTTATTTATACAGTTAATACAAATAATGTTCTGTCTAAATAATCTTTGTACAAGTCAAAAATCGTAAAACTAAAATCCACGTGCGTATAACGAAATTGTATTTTGTTTGTTTTTAGGGCGAGCTCGTATGGTTCGATCCGGGCGTCGGCCATGTCTTACCCGGTGAAGTTTTGGAGTATCACAAACCCGCACAAGTACTCACCGTACAGGCCGTCATCGCGGGAAAGGTAAGTCCAAAGTAGAACATTTCGCAGTGATATGTAAAAAATAAAATGTTTTCGTTGAACTTCTGTGCATTAGACTCAAATTTTCTCGCTTACGAATGCCAACGGCGTAAACCGACGACAGGATCTCGGCCAGAACGGTATCGAAGACATGATACAATTAACGTGAGCGATTTACAATGCTTGTTATCATAATAAATATGAACTCAATTTATCATAAATTATAACATAATTTTAGGGACTTGAACGAGGCTTCGCTATTATGGAATTTGAAAATACGATACGACAAAGAACTGATATATGTGAGTAAACGCTTTAGTATTTAACCGAAAATGTTTTTTTTTTTTTCCATAAATTCTAACTCGTATCACTTGTATTCCTAGACGTATACAGGAAGCATATTGGTTGCGGTGAACCCGTACAAAATGTACGACATGTACGGATTGGACATGGTGAAAAAGTACGAGGGCCAAATTTTAGGAACATTACCGCCGTGAGTATACAATTATTACATTTTTCCGCTTGTATGAATAAAATTGCAAGAATTGCAAGTAAGTAGCAATAACATAGATACCCTATACTTACGCGGCGAACGACGTGTTCTTTTGTTTGTTCAGCCATTTGTTCGCCGTCGGTTCTGCGGCTTACGGGATGCTCCCCAGAGGAAATCAAGTGGTCGTTATTTCCGGCGAATCGGGTTCCGGTAAAACGGAATCCACCAAACTCATTATGCAGTATCTGGCGGCCGTTAATAAATCGCCATCGAACCTCATCACCGAACAAATCCTAGAAGCTTCGCCGTTGCTGGAGAGTTTCGGTAACGCCAAAACCGTTCGCAACGACAACTCATCACGGTTCGGAAAATTTTTAGAAGTCCATTTCAAACAGTACGTATCATATTTTTTTTTTTTGAAAAAACTAGTGAGTACTAGGTACTTTACTGTTTTATGTTTTATGATTGTAGAGGAGTAATATTGGGCGCTAAAGTCACGGAATACCTGTTGGAAAAATCACGTATTGTAACTCAAGCACCGGAAGAACGAAATTATCACGTGTTTTACGAACTGTTGGCAGGACTGGCCGACGAGGAAAAACTCAAATATGGTTTACTTTCAGCCGACAAATATTTTTATTTGAACCAGGGTGGTAATTGTGAAATCGATGGCAAATACGACGGGGATGATTTCCAGTCGCTCATGTCTGCAATGCAAGTCCTTGGATTCACGTCGGAAGAACAAGATACTATATTCCGAATATTAGCGTCGGGTAAGCAAAAGCGATCTAAGTTGGACAGTAACAAACTAAAAAGTTAAAATTCAAGTAGTAAGTTACTCTTTTTAATCACTGAACTCAAGTTATTATTTTCATACAAATGTTTAACTTAGATAAATATATACTCAAATTCATTTATATTTTAAAATTAAGTTTAACATTGCTTTGTTGCTGTCAAATTTTTCGCGGAAATAAAAACTATTTCATTTTGTTGTATCTGTTACATACAGAGTGTCCTACGAAGATGTGATCAATGCGTTATTTTCGAAAGTATTAACTTTTTCCGAAATTATTATTTTTCGATTATTTAAGAAACAAGCTTTAAAGAAGAAGCTTTAAAATGTTACATTACCATAATTTTAAGTTAACCTTATCTTTGGGGGTCAACCGACTACGTATTTTTAATTTATAAATAGTGAATCATATTAAACATTCAACTGCGTATTAGTTATAATGTTGCTATAACATTTTACTGTTGAGGTGTTTGATTTCGGTCAACCTGTTCATAAAATATTCCCATTTTAAGCTCGGATAGGACGAGTGTGGTGGCACAGCACGCGGTGTTGGAATAATGTTCCACTATCCTACTCTTACGCATACTTAAAAGCGTAATCTTATCAACGGGTTGACAGAAATAGTTGCATCACCAAAATGTATTTAAACTACAATTTAATCTATTTATGAATTTTTCATTTTTTTTTCTTTCACAAATTTCATTTAACTATAGACTACCCTTAAATATATTGGGCGTGTGACCTAAGCAGTGACGATATAGTAACTGTTTCATTTTTATCTCTTGTGTCTCGTCTAACTTTACATGTTATGTTCGTAAATGTATAATTTTTACGAGGTCCCTATTCTCAAAAAAAAAAAAACCCATACCTAATACAACGAGCGTATCTGGTGATCACGAACAAAATTAATATTATATTTTAAGTAAACCATTTTTTTTTTGTTGCAGTATTACACTTAGGAAATGTTTATTTCCACCGTAAGCAGTTAAAACATGGACAAGAAGGTGTAGAAATTGGTTCGGACGCGGAAATACGGTGGACAGGACATTTGCTAAGATTGGATGTGGACGGCATCAAAGAAGCACTAACGACCAAAACTACGGTTCGTGTTGTAATTTAAATCGCGTGTTTTTTTTTTTTTTTCACAATATTTTATTAAATTAAATTTTAAATTTTTGTTGTTCAGGAAGCTCGTAACGAACGCGTTCTGACGGCATTAAATATCGATCAAGCGTTGGATGCCAGGGATGCTTTCGCAAAAGCTTTGTACAGTTCGCTTTTTACGTGGCTCGTGGCCAGAATCAATCACATCGTATATAAAGGAACCAAAAAAACGACGGCTATATCGATTTTGGATATATTCGGTTTTGAAGATTTCAAGGTAATAAAAACGGCCAAGTGCGTGTCGTACGCACATCAATTTAGTGTTCCGTAATATAAATATCTAGGAATATATTATTGGATTAACATATTTTTTTAAAAATAAATATCATCGCATATTTGAGAAATTAGAGGGTGGAGACATATTATCAACTTTAGAAGTCTAATGTTGCGAAATATTTATCTGTATACAAAATTTCACATGTAAAAACCTATATTAAATATAAAAAGCGATACTCCAAACGAAAGGGTGTGATACAAATAATGTTTCTATCTGAGATTTATAATTTAAAAAAAATTTGAATTAATCTTTAATATTTTGATTATACAAAGTACTTAGTGAGACAAATCTTTGTAGAATTTCGTCAAAATGACGTAAGACGTGATCAAATTATAATAGTTCCGTTTTTTTCAATCTTAAAAATAAAAATAGTTCCCAAATAATATAATACACTGATGTTGTTATAAACGTTAAGAACGTAATTCTTTTTCGTTTTTAGGAAAATAGTTTCGAACAGTTGTGTATTAATTATGCAAATGAAAATTTACAAGTATACTTCAACAAACACATATTCAAATTGGAACAGCAGGAGTATGCAAAAGAAAAGATCCATTGGCAAAATATTGCGTATAACGTAATACGAAACTATATTAATACTATTTTTGTGTTGTTATCAAGCTATTAAACATTATAATTTTCTATTTTTCATTGATATTTTCAGGATAATTTGCCGGTCATTCAATTATTGTCGAAAAAACCCGTTGGTATACTGCACCTTTTAGACGACGAGTCCAATTTTCCGCGTGCCACTGACGTATCGTTTTTGGAAAAATGTCATTATAATCACGCATTGAACGAGCTCTACTCCAGACCTCGGTTGAACGGCCCGGAATTTGGTGTTCGTCATTATGCAGGTCCGGTTTGGTACAACGTTGACGGATTTCTGGACAAAAATCGAGATACGCTAAGACCCGACGTCGTACAACTGTTGATATCAAGCTCATTGCCCGTGAGTTATATTGGCGAGTGGGTTGTTTTATTCAATATTTTTATGTATCTACTGTTTTACAGATGTTAAGCAAAATGTTCAGTTCTTTGCGGAACAATTATGAAGCTTCGAAAACTCTAAACAAAGCCAATGGAAGATTCGTAACCATGAAGCCCCGGACGCCGACCGTCGCAGCTAGGTTTCACGATTCATTACAGCAACTTTTGGAGTCGATATCCGGGTAAGTCATTGCGAAGTTTATCATTAAGCGTATCAAATGTGTGAATACATTCGATGTCGACATTTAGATGCCATCCGTGGTTCGTCCGGTGTATCAAACCCAATTGCGAAAAGGTGTCAATGAAATTTGATATGCCTACCGTTTTGGAACAGCTCCGGTATTCAGGAATGTTAGAAACGATCAGGATCCGTAAATTGGGTTATCCGGTGCGCATGAAGTTTAGTGAGTTCGTTGATAGGTATCGTGTGTTGGTGCGAAAACGGAAACTACCGCCAAAAGGCACTCCAAATAGGTATTTCGTTTTTTCAACTGTATACGCGTATTCCGAGTATTATACTAAATACGTACCCTCTGTCGCAGGGAAATTTGTCACGCTATTTTAGAAAAACACTCGGACGAATATCAGTTGGGAACGAGCCGGGTGTTTCTGCGGGAAAACTTAGAACGGCATTTGGAACGGGAAAGGGCGGCCATATTGAACACAGCCGCGATCACCTTGCAACGGAACGTCAGGGGATTCTTGGCTCGAACTAGGTACACAGCCAAAAGACAGAGCGCGATCAGGCTTCAGGCTTCGGTCCGGGGCTGGATGCAACGTAGGCGGTACGAGACATTGAAACGAGGCGTCATCAAGGCGCAAGCCACGTTCAGGGGTAGACAACAGCGCAAACGGTACAACCAGCTGAAGGTACGTAAATAGAAAATGTTAAACTTTCGATCGATTAATTAACGTAAGTACGCGGCTGACGGATAGGAGGAAATGAAACGGAAAGCGAACTTGGCTAAAGAGAGGGCGAGACTCAAGGCACAAAAGGAAGAACAAGAAAGGAACGCCAGACCGCACGCCGTGGCCAGTCTCAACACGTTAGACATTCCGGCGGAGCTCGCGACGATATTTAATAAAATCGAAGGTAATTACAACTGAATATGTAATACACGAACAGCAATGAGGTACGAGCAATATTAGAAGCGATCGGTTCAGGTTAGGTCAAGCTAAACTTTACCGGCTCAATTTTGTTTGGCTTGCGCGTTCCATTTCATTATTTCAATTTACACTTTATCACTCAAAAACAGTATACGCGTTGTCGGTGCGCTAAAATAGTACGATTTTAACGAAAACAGTCCGTGTAAAAGCTTTATCGAGTAATATTTTTAAACTAAATTTATTCTTACCCCCGATCTAGGCCCCTCTAAAAACCAATTCCTACTCCTCCGGCATTTTACCTTTTAAATCCTTTATACAAACAATAATCGTTTTACTGTTTCCCTGTTTTTCTTTTTTTATGTTTTTCTTAAATCGATTTGGTTCTAAATTCAGTTATAACCACTAAAAATCTATTATTGCGTGTCTGCATCTTCGCATTACTATTTATTTCTACTTAAAACGATCTGTCGAATTAAATCGAAAGACTTTTGTTTCCATTTCCAACGGTTAGTTTTAATTTCGAATGTATTACGATATTATGTTTTCATGTGAACGTTATCCGTTTCTAGAATTTCAATTAGACGCAATACGTGATCCTAATATATAAAATGGTTTCATCTGTCTTTCAATATCCATTTTGATCAATTTAAGAATATTTGGTTGTCGCGACGTAAATCACATACATGCATACATTGCAGGAATCGTTACTCTTACAAATCTTTTCAACTCGATTATATTAAATTGTATTGCAAGCTATTTTATATTATTAAGTAGGTACCTATCTAGCTTAATACTAATAGTTTATGGATCAAACTCATAAGAAACGTCTGCATAACTAAAAGGGGAGGGAGGGAATGAGGGATACGGTAGCAAAGAAATTACAAACATCTAAGTAGGTGTGCGTATAAGAAAAAAAATACAAAAACACATAGTAAAACCAACAGATTCCGTTATTATTTAATTTCAAAATTATGATATTCGTCCGATTGTTATTTATGTTTAGAAATATATATTTAAATGCCATTATTTCGGATTTTATAGAATGGCAACCTTTACACAATGAAAGGCAACTGGTCAAAGTGGTCGGGCCCATCGTCGAAATTCAAGAGCAATATACTTTGCCGAACGATATCGATCAACATGCGTTTTCAAAGTTTACAAATATTTATTTCAAAGTAATATATTATGAACAATATTTCGATGTCTGTTTAAATACAGATTAAAAAAAAAAAATGAATATTTTATTCTAGTCGCACGTATGGGGAATGAAACGGGAGTCGATAAAAACCCCGTTTCTCCACAAAAGCAAAGACGCCGATTACATGGATTCGATTGCTATTTTCAAATTGATCTTGAGGTTCATGAACGACGAATCGTTATCGCCCAAAAGAGAACAGGCCCTCGCGGACTACATCATCCACAAAGTAAGTTACAATTGTCGTGTTCGAGTTCGGATATTTCGTTACGCACACATTTTAAAGTCGATATACTATACGTGTACATTATTCGTTGTTAATTCGAAAAATAAATTCTGAACCCCGTCAGGAAGAAACGCGAACTGACGAATACACTGACGGCGTAAACGAATTCAATACGAAAATATTATCTATATCGACAAACATATTCGAAACTAATTATAAACGATTATAAATCGATCGCATTACGACCCGTTTAAAACTAATTACACTGGGCATAGTCACTAATCATCGTTGCCTACCTGTAAACTATATAGACCGTGATGATAAAATGTTTTCCCGTTAGTCTTTCGGTTATTAGTTCCTGCGTTTTGTATTTGTATTTTAATACGCGTCTATATAATCGATATTACCGTTACGGATATTATTATGCGCATCTAGTTTCGAAACTATTTCGATATTAAACGCGTTTCGCATTGTTTAGGGTTTGGCGAACGAGCGGCTGAGAGACGAAATCCTGTGTCAATTAGTGAACCAAACGTGGCGCAATGACGTCGAAGCGAATAACGAGAGAGGGTGGCTGCTGATGGCCAGTTGTCTTTCGGCGTTCCCGCCGACCGGGCCGCTGTACAAATACCTATTGAAGTAATAACGCCGGCATTAATTACGAACGCAATGTTATTTAAACGATGTTGTTTACGATCGGCATTCTAATTTGTTTGTCTGTCGATATCGCACACCGCAGGTACGTGTCCGATCACGGTTACGATGGTTACAAGAGCGTGTGCCAGAGGAAACTGTTGTCGGGTCACACGTGCACTCCGCCGGCCCGGTCTTCGGCCCCGTGTTTGCTCGAGTGGCGGGCCAACCGGAAGCGTTTCAACACGGCGTTAGAGTTCACGATGCCGGACGGGGAGACGATGACGGCCGGTGTGGAATCGTGGACCCGGTGCCACACGGTGGCTTCGGCTCTGCTGGCCGAGAGAGGCGTCGCCGAGTGTAACGGATGGACCGTGGCTCTGGACAACGATCAGAGGAACGGGTTCGATTACGTGTTCGACGCCATATCCGAAGTGGAAACGCCGCCCGGTTATCCGGGCAAGCAGCATCACCATCAACCGCCCGGCTCACCGCCTCAGCCGCCCCCGATGATCGCGCCCGTTTCAAAGGTAATAGTATAATAACAGCTGTGCACTTATCCCAATCCCGTCTCACGACCAATCCTACAATCTATCGCCATATACACGATTTGTTTCTCTCTCCCGTATTTTTCTTGAAAAAAAAAAAAAGTAAATAAATCACAAAATTACAACCGTCTAACACTGTTATACATAATGCATCATACAATAAATTACTTTTTAAAAAGATGATTTTTTTTTTTTTGTTAGGAAAATTTTTCTGGTTTTTTCGTATCGTAGATTAAAGGATGTGGATTTTTTTATCTGATGGTACTTTATTTAAACATTTTTTTTTTTTTTTTTAATTTCCAATAACTCTCCCAAGAAATTACTTTTTATGTTTTGGTTAAAACGCTTTTTTGGTTAGGAAACGATCCAATTCTTTCACACTAAATATCTCAATAGATGCGGGATTCTTATCCAGTGATACATTATTTGAAACATCTGTCGACATTTTTAGCAGTTTACCCGTTACGTCTCAATATATTGTTGATTTCTGAGTTAGCTTCGACAAAAAAAGGGGATAACACGATTAGTACTATACCGCTCAGAATTGTTTAATTTATCGTCGCATACGGTATATAAACTGCTTAAACACCCCGGATACATCTTTCGTTCCCAACCACTCACCCGCAACAATATTCTGCCCTTCCCCCCCGTGAATAGTATCGACTTTTACGATATTATTCTCAACACTATCCGTTCGTATGTCAACAGGTCGAACCCGTTGCGGCGGCCGTGAACCGCAGGCCAACCGTACCGCCACCCCAACCGCCAGTAGCACAACCGGTAAGTCGAAATATTGTTCTGTCAACGACAGCGTTACGCTCGAATTGATTTTCACTCACGTTTCGTAATAACAATAATTAATGTCTTAACCTATCTATTCCCCCCTAATATTTTATTATAACATCTCAACACTGTTTCATGCAGCTGATAAATGACGGCCACGTTGTAAACTTGTACTTACGAAAAAAAACATTACCTACGAACCGCTTACAGCTAATTACGTTCATCCTGGCAAAAAAAAAAAAAAAAATCTATCGCCATTAAATATGTATTATACGATGTAAATTATATTTTCACTGTCGTCGCACATCCGTCCGTAAAAAATATGTCGAAACGTCCTGCGGACAGCGGATAATTTATAGAGAGATATTTTGACCGTCGTATTTTTCGCCGTGTTCATACAAATTATTTACGTCAAATTAATTACACGATAATCGAACACGTATTACAAACACCCCATATATTGCAATTATAATCAAGTGAAACATTCGAAACGAAACGACGTGATACGTGTTCGTCTTTAGCTGATACAATTTCTGTGTAAATATTATACTACCCGAATATCGTGATATGTGACATAAATACGGATTTTAAATTTCACAATATTTGGGTCTTTGTTATTTTTTTATCTAAAAATCAGAGAGCCCGTATTTACGATAAATTTCAAATTCCGGAAATCCGGATTCTCAAACTTTTCAATTTCCGCCATTGCCGTGTCATAATATTACGAGTGTATAGTAAAATCACAGACGGATGTTTTTCTTGAATCTGTATACGTTTTTGTAGCAAAAGGTCCGGTCCGTATCCCGTGATCACAGCGCCGAAATGGGCCTGTCTCGACAATCGGCTCTAAACGACAGATATTTCGAGAAGACGAGCCGATCCAGAAGTCTGGACAATTTAATAACGCCCGTGAGTTACGCGAATGTTCAAGATTTTCGAAAATTTACGCTGACGGCGCGAAATCTAACTTGGTTTCAGGTGCCGCAAACTTCGGTGGCGCCCAAAAAACTGGACAATTTGGGGCTGTCGCATAGCAAACTAAATGAACGGTACATGTCGATGGAACGTATCCAAGAAACCGAGAAAGATACGGACAGCGAAGACGACCGTGACGGCGATGATGACGACGACGACGACGACGACGACGACATCACAAAATCCGTATACGACGATAATTTGGAATCTGTCAGCCAGAGGGGTGACACGAGAAACTATAACGGGTACTATTATAATACATTCTTCGGTGTTTTACCGAGTGTGCTTCGCTTTTGTCGAAATCCAATACCGATAATATTATGAATTTCACAGCGCATCATCGGACGTCATGTCTCACAGTCAAATGGACTTTGATTACCCGGATATTGGTGCTAGGAGCGAAGACGATAAAGGCTCGTATATCAAAGGCCATCCCAGGTACGTGCGTTTTGTGAAAATTTACTACGCTGTACATGTAGTGAATAATATTTAGTTTGCATGTTGCAATGCGGACAAAACACATTAAATATTATGGCGATGGTCGTAATATTTTATAATAACAGTTAGAACTCGAGACGCGAGTTTAATATGTTAAGGAAACCATAAAATGGGATGTAACGAATGCATAATAATAATCAATGTTATTGTTTCGCGCGCAGATTTATCAAGTCGCAATACGCTGGCAAACGCGGTTCGCATTCAATCAAATCGCAAATGGACAACAAGAATTCGGACAAATCCGAGGCTAGGAGCTGCGCTATGTCCGATACAAGCGAAGCGCCGTCGTTGGGTAAATAATACGCAAATCGAAAGTCTAATAAAATCTAATAAAGTCTAATAAAAAATGTCGTATACTCGTACGTTTTTTTAAAACGTATTATAGAACAAAAATATCTGCGGAAATAGGAAACAAATATATACACATTTTTATACTTATCGTAACGCTCAGTGGTATTTTCAATGAATTCTGATGGTCAAAAAGTTGCCGAAAATATAAATTACCGCTCCAAAAAAATAAAATGCGTCGATATTTCAATCGTCCGTTTTTAATTTCATAATTTTCGACCAGTCAAATTGTAGTTGTTTTGCAATTAATTAATATAATATTATTTTCCGAACGAATTTGAAGGGCTTTGCGCGATAACCAGGTGGGTCCATTTTAATACTTTTTCTGAAAACAAAAACAAAAAAAAAAATATTGTGTTCAGAATAAAACTGATTTCAAAATCAATTTAAAATACATGTCTATGTTAGACGAAAATGACCATTCATGTTAGCTGCCTGCAATTTTAATTATTACAGCCGATCGATTTAAGTAATCGGTACACGACGTATAATTTATAAAAAGCCTACGTTACGATTGACCTACAAATTATTTGTTTAATAAACTCAAAATTATTTTATTTTATTTAATTGTGTTTTGCTGATTAAGTTTTTTTTTTTTTTTTTCAAAACAAATCCAGTTATATTTACCTAATTATTTCAACTAATCTGCAAGCAGAGAAAATTCTCACGGTATTGCGAACTGTACACAGAGCTAACGCGTATAACCTCATATACACATTTCATTACCGCGCAGCTAAAGAGTACTCATTTCTTTAAAAAAAAAAAACCACATTCCGAGGTCATATATTATTATTTCTCAATTAAAACCTTCCACTTCGTTGTTCTTCTCTGGTTTTTTTTTTCTTCGGCTATTTCGATTCTGATTTTTGGACTATAATATTATTATTATATTTTATACAGCATCGCATGTCAGACGCGTGCGCGTCCCGTCACAGGCATCGGACGTAGATCAATTCCTCGACGATCTCTTCAATCCGGTCCTGGACCAGCTGTCGGACGCCAGGTCATTAGCTGCTTCGATAAAAGGCTCGTCCGTCAAGAGCAAATCCGTCGACGACTGCGAGTCTTTAGATTCCCGGGACTTTTTCAAGACGATAAAGGGAGGAGGTGACCGTAGCAGTCGGACGTCCCGCGAGGGGCTGTCGTCACGAGATGCGGTTGACGGAGACATCGGCACTCTGGACTTGGCGATGTTCGCCCGGACCGTGAAGGGAGGCGGCCGAGGAGTCGCGTCACAACAACAGGTACGTAATTGCACGCTAACGCATGCTCACGTGGCATTATAACGGTCTTACAACATTGTGTTTTGGTTATTTCCGTCCGCAGAACGGTTCCGGACAGACCGGAAACGGTTCGTTTGGTATGTCACCGCTGATTGGCTCACCGCCCGTCATGCCCATCCTATCGCCGCCGTCACTGCTCATGCCCGCCATGAATCCACAGATGTTCAACTCTCCGAGCAGTGAGTTCATCGCGCGCATTGTTTTGCGTTTGTTTTAAAAAAAAAAAAAAAACAAATTTTTAATAGCAGAAATAATAATAATAATAATAATAATAACACGGTTGTACGACAAGAGAACAATGGCTGGGAGAGTTCACACATGCGTCGGCGACGACGACTACGACGCCATGCTCCAGTAAAAAATTTCCCCGGCCCGTTTGCCGCCACGCACGGCCGCCGAGTCGTTCGGCCGGGTTACCGCGTGTAAGTCGTTGTCGTCGTCGCCGCCGCCGCCGCCGCCGCCGCCGGAGAAATTTCGTATTTCGTCAACCGTACACGGAATTCGATAAATTATTGTTTTCGATTTTTACACCATCATGGGATTCGATTTTGCAGGTCTCAGTGTGCCGACGAGCGCCTCGAACAACACGAGCAATGGTTCGTCCAGCGACAGCATGCTCGCCTATCAGGCCAACCTCCATCAAGCGTTCCTGCAATCAGCCATGGCGCAGAACATTCAGATCCAACAGCAAATACTTGCCCAGAATCAGGCGCTCCACCAGTTGCTCCAACAGCAACAGCTATTACCGCCGGTATGTCGTTATAATAGTTATACGTCGCCTAATGGTTATGCACGAGAATGGCGATATAACTTGAAAAAAAAAAAAAAAACTCAATTCCGAGTTGCCTAGCCGAAAAACCATTACAGCGTCACTGTCCAACTATCAAAATATTGGTCCTTGGGCTAAAAAAACCGGAAAATGGATTTAATATGGTAGTAATGGTAATACGATGATATCGACCTAAAAAAAAAACATTTTGTTTATTTCGATATTCGTGCGTTTATGTTTTCGTTCATTATTATTAATCGGCAATTGTTTAATCATTAAACACAGGGCTAAACCAACAAGCTGAAATGGAAAGCAGTTAAAATTTTAAATGTTTAAATTTAGCAATAAAATAAAATTACCTAATTTCCATTTATATTTTTCAGCAATTAATATTCTCGAAAAACAACAGTAAATCGAACCTAAAGGCAAATAAAAAAAGTATACTAATAATTTAAAAAAAAAAAAAACAACGGCATTATTTGTTATTGTTCCGGTTTTTATCCTTTAACTTAAATTTAGTGGGAGTAATACAAATTTAAAATTTCCATATGAACAATTCTGCATTTTATTCGAAAAAAAATATATTTGCATATTATAAACACAACGTTTTATGTTTCTTTTTTCGTTTTGTTTTCTCGGATGAATAAATATACTATTATATTATTTAATTACCAGTGCCTACGCATGACTTTATTGTCACAGCGAATTGCATGTTCACGTGCAATTATAACTTAATAGTAAAAAAAAAATAAATTAGTTGGTAAAATACAATTTAATTTTTTTAAACATAAAATGTACTTAACATTTCCTTGTCGTACCACTTACATTTTATTGTAAATTATTTTGATATAATCAACTTTTTTATTTAAAAATATTTCTCTAATGTTGTGTATTTCTGTTTTAGGTTGGTCCCGAAAACACGTCAGGTGTATGGAACAATTCACCTCCCAAACACAAATCTACGCCTACCAATAAGTCTCAAGTAAGTCGAAAAATCATATACATATTTATCACACGAACAAATTGTAAACATATTTTTTCAATTTTAGGGACTCCGTGCCGGATCACCACATTCCACCTTTACGAATGTTTTGAGTGAACTGAAAAGCAGAAAATCTTCCATGGATTCTAACGTGGGAAAAGTAAAATTAAAAAAACCATTTAAAATTAATAAGTCTTCCAAGTGTCTATCAACTGTAAATATCTACTTTTAGAGTTCTGTACCTCCGCCACCCCCTATGCCACCGCCTCCGGATTTATGCGATCCCAGTGAAGTCAGGCCGTTCATGGACCCGTATGGCCGAGCTAAGACTGTCCGGATCGGGAAATGGAGGTGGCCACCGCCCAGCGACGGCACGAGCAACGGAGTCCCCGGTGATGTTAACGGATTTCCTACCCATCAAAGTTTTTTGCAGTTTAAAATGTCCAAACAGCAAAATCAAAGACACAAACACTCACAGGTTGGTGTTTGTGTATTGCAACAAATGTTCGCAAAAGTTGTGATTTGATTTAATTTCAAAAGGTATATATTCTTATTTCTAATGCGTAATTGGATGTTTAGGATTCAAGTCAGGACGGGGACTTAAACGGACTCGAATGGGAAGAGTACGAGATACAGCAGCCTGAAACAGCAATGAAACAACCATCACCCAAGGATCCACAGATCGCGGAGGTGCACAAATCATCATACAAATCATTAGAAGTCGGAGCGTCCAGACCGAGTCCCGGAAGTGTGGGGAAACTACGGATCAGTAACGAAATGAAGCATAAATTAGAAATGGTGACAGCCAACCACAGTCTACGATCTACAACTAGTAAGCCGAGGCCTCAGGCCATGAACAACATGCCTACTCCACCCACGGGGAAACTGGACACGGATAGACGATTGTTATTACAACAGCAGCTGGGTAAGTTTTTTTTTTTGAAAATTGAAATTTAAAAGAGTCTTTCTTTTGCCTCGATTAAATGAATGACCCGATGGCTCACAATGAAATTTAAAACTATATGTTATGCTGTCATCGGTACATTTTTATTTATTATTAAATATATATTTTAGCCGGTAGATGGGGTAGCGTAGACAGCGTCGATTCCCAGAGCGTGGTCAAAGAAGACGCTTCTGAACCAAATAATGTGATACGAAATCAAGTGGAACGCATCGAAAGCTCCGGATGGCGGTTGCCTCCACCACCCATCACTCCGTCCAGGTCCAATAGCTTTTACAATCAAAATATGTGAGTGACTTAACTTTGCCTAAACCGTACGAGTATTTTTTCATTATTATCACTGGTACCCGTTTCGAACAGGAAAAAGAACAGCACAGGTCCTCCTGCACCTATACAGCCCGTGACGCGCGAGTACGACCAAAACGTCTTCCGCAATTCGGTTCCAAACAATAGTAACTACGCTGTCGAACAACAGGATGTTGAAAAAGTGCCATCGCCTGAGTATAACAGTCGTCCCGAGCCCAGGATACAGTCACCTTTGCAAAACGAAGACGGGCAGACCACAAAGTTGCTACAAACACCGGCCAACTCGTATTTTACGTATAACCGGGTGCCGTGGAAGTTAAACGTCCGAAAGGAAGTAAGCCACGCAGACGACCGATTAAAAACAAAATTTTAAAATAATTATTTTATTGTACCTACTGAAAATAATTTACATAATTTTTTCTTTCAGGTTTTCACCCCGAAAGAATCAATGTCCAGTCCGTTGGTGTTGCATCTGATATTCTGTCAGATAGTCGGCGACATGTTCAACAAATTCCATTCGGTACACGCGAGAATATCAGCCGATGAACGAGAAGAGATGCTAGACGTAAGTACGAAAAAAAAAGGCCGTCAAGATACAGCACATTACAGTAACTCAAATGCAACAAGTTTTTTTTTTTTTACCGTCTTTCTATTTATTTACTTACATATTTTGTATTAAATCAGTAGAAACTTAGTTGGGTTCGTTGTTTTTCTTTCAATCTATAGATATTTATAATATTTCAGCTGTTGGATCGTTTTGGAGTGACAGCCAGCAATATGCAAACTGGTCATCACAAAGCCAGTACTAAACGCTCTATCGTCGAATTGGCTCGTCAGTGGCCACTGTACTTTGCGCGAATATTTCCTGTCTCGGTGAGAATTTCGGAGTTTTTTTATTTTAAGCCAATCCACTAACACTTCACATTTATTTCACGTAAACAACACTAATACCTATATTACTTTACATGTCCATAGTGTGGTTATCAACATAGAGAAGTGGAATATTTGGCAATCACTCACTCGGGTCTGAATCTGCTTCGGAAGGAAGATAACCAATTTCAAATCATGCAAACCCTAACGTGAGTAAACTATTTAAAACTGTTGGTATTCTCGTTAATTAATTGTTGTCATTATTAATTTTTCGTTGCGTAGATTCGAAGACATTTCAGACGTTTCAATGGGCAAAGCGGGCGGCTCGGTTCAGCTAACCATAATGTCCGGTGAAACGATACCGTTCCATTCGAACAGATCCAGACAGATACATTCGATGATAAGTTCATTCTGGAAGGACGCCGCGCCACTCGGACGACTTCCTCGTCAAGTGGTAAAGATATATTTATATTTTTGTTCTCAAAACAGTCAATTAGAACTTATAATAATTGATTGTATCCGTGAAAACCATAAATGGTGATTGATTTTTTTAAATACGTGTACTGTTTTTTAATTTAAATTCTAATTTAATCATTTTCAGGACGAAAAAGTCCGTGCTGCTGAACACAAGGGTAAATAATAAATCATCCATTTCATAATCGCAAAAAATCATATATACTTTAATCTATTGTTTATGTACATATATATATATTTTTTTTTTAGGATGGCAACAAACTAACCCAAAATATTCTAAATCGACGTCACCATACAAACAACACGATTCACCGCCACCTATTCATTCCGTAAGTACTTATATGTTTAAAATACATAAATCCATTCATGTTTGCGAATGGTTTGTGTTACGCGAATATATCAAAATTATTTACTTGTAGAACGCAGATGACGGTAAACATTCATTACTCCAGTTCGCAATGTACAATTTCAGACATAGTTCTGAAAAGTAATTATATTTTTATCAGTTGTTTTTTTAATGCAATACAAATCTAATTAATATATTTCTTTTTTTTCTTTTTGGCCTATAGGTTCGACATGCTAAAATCGGCAAACGGAGAAATAAATGGTTCGTTAAAGGTAATACAAAACTCAAAGAAAAAAAGCAGTGACGATTGGACTTGGAAAGAACAATTGGAAATGGTCAAATACACAAATGTTCCGATATCCGAATCGCTTTTGAAATTGGATCCAGAGTTAGACTTGCTGGCTATCGAATGTTTCGAGTGTATCATGAGATACATGGGTGATTTGCCCACGACGCCAGAGTTTACAGAAGTCAAATGTGTATACACAATTCTCATGGTAACAATATATAACATATGTTAAACAAATATAACATTTACGCGTTCCGTTATTTTCTCTGCAGCATTGCCATAAATTCGAAAGTCTGAGAGACGAAGTTTACTGTCAGCTAATGAAACAGACTACCAACAACAAAACGGAGACTTGTCAACGGGGATGGCGCTTGCTGAGTATAGTCGCGGCGTACTTCACGTGTTCTGAAAATCTGAGACCTTTTCTCCTGAAATATTTGGAAACCGCTGCGTACGACAAAAGAAGAGCTTTCCACGGTAAGACTATTCCAAGTCAACCCCGTTTCCCTACTCGTTGCCATTTGTTCGTCTTACATCGCGCGTTCTTTCCTATACACTTTAATAACCATTAGCTTCGTTGTTTCCGTTGGCTCACCTCTCACCCAGATCCCAATTGCACTTAACTCGTCAGTTATCTTCTCGACCTAACTCGTCGTTTCTCCTTGTCTCGAGACGCGTCCGTACAGCCTCGGCCCGTATTCTCTTTCGTTTTCGCTGCCCTACGATATTTATAAAAAAAAAAAAAAATAAATAAATAAATAAATAAATAACGTAATACGTCCGTAGGTACCGCGAACGTGTGTCTGCAGAACTTGCGGAAGACGTTAAGATACGGCGGCCGCAAGAACGTGCCGAGCGTCGAAGAGGTGACCGCCGTGTCGGCCGGTCGAAATTCGAAGCGGCAGCTCTATCGTCTGCCCGGCGGCAGCGAAACCGTCGTCAACACAAAGTCCACGACCGTGGTCGCCGATGTCATATCCGGTATGTGTTCGTTGATCAACGTCAACGACCCGTTGGAAATGGAAGAGTTTTCTCTGTACTGCATTGTCGAAGGCGACGCGTTCACGATGCCGTTGGCCGCCGACGAGTACATACTGGACGTCACCACCGAGCTGCACAAGAACCAGCAAGTGTTCTATCTGATATTCTGCCGATCGGTCTGGTATTTCCCGCTGCGGCTGGACAGTCAGCTATACGTCCAGGTGTTGTTCAATCAAATCGCGCCGGATTATCTAGAAGGGCTACTGTTAGTATTGCCCTTCGGCCAGTTACCTCAAGAGTTATTGGTACGGCATCCGCGTGTTTTGTTAACGTTGCGTAGGGTCGCTGTGTATTTATTTTGTTTTGTTTTTCTCGAAGTTCGAAGTGTGCAGATTGGCCGCTTTACTGCACAGGGCGGCCGACATGCTGCAGCCACCCACGTTGAAAGAAACGAAATTCCTTTTGCCCAAACCGGCGCTCATGCAAAACGAAGTCAACCCCCAACAGTTGGTACAGATGGTCCAAAACAGTTGGCCGCAAATCGAAACATTGCACAGCGTCGAAGCAAAAGCTCAATTTTTAGGTACGTAACGTGGCGAGCGATTTTATTTGCATGCGGGTTTTTTCAACTCTAAAATCAACTGCCTAACGCGCGCAGAATATTTTATCATAACTCCGGTTAGTTTTATCGTGGTCTTATTTTGTCGGATATGTCTTTATAATTTGAAAATTCAAAACTTAATCGAATTGCACGAGGAAAAAATTATGTAAATTTTATCACCGAAGATAAATTAATTTTTTCAGTATAATATTTTATTCGTTTTAATGCCGAGTATGCAAATAATTTGTTCTTCGATAAAAAAAAAAAAAAAAAATCACTGCACGCCGAATATTCGTAAATTATGGGGGTTTTTTTTATTATAATCGTTATTATAAAAGCATGACGAATAATTAGTTTTCGGACACGAATAAAATAATCATCACCACAAAATATAATAATTATTGTATAGGTACTCGAACGAAATAACGGCGGCATTTTTCACAAAACTAATTTATCGTATTCGGATGACAATAATGTAACGTTAATTTTACATGATAATAATATGGTTGTTAAACGCATTTTGATAATTTTTCGTCGGATTGCTGATTTTGATTGATTTATATTTTTGTTTCCGTAAACGGCGTGAACATAAACGAATACAACCAATCCAATAATTACTATCAACTTGCCACAGACAACACCATGAATTAATACATAACTGTGACAAATTCGCGTTTCGTTCGAATATGAACTTTCCGAATAACAACTCTATTAAGGTACGCAGCTAATAGAAGTTAGATAAATAAATTGACACAACTCGTAAAAAGGCATTTTATGATTTGAAGTCTACAAATCTCAAAACGAACGACTTAAAATCGTTTTGAATAATATTACTTAGATTTTAATACCCTCCGTCCGAAGTAATCAAAAAAAAAAAAAAAACATACACGCACGCGATTTCTAAAGACCAAGTCCTAGGACTGTGTAGAAATTGCTGATGCAGAATATTAATGTAACACGTGAACGTTAAAATGTATTAGTGAACCTTGGAAATTGAAATAAAAGTTCCTATTTAGATAGAATCGGATGAGATATGTGAAAGTTTTGCGAATTCATCCCCCCCGAGGGTTGCAATGACAGAGAATTCGTCGCGATTTTTACATTTTAACTATACAAACTTTGTAACTCAGTCGCGACGAACTTGCGATACACCTAAGGAATGAACAACGCGGGTTACATTTTCATTTGGGATTCGGAAATATTTTGTGTGTGCGGGTTGAAAACTGTGCCGTTATTCGATATATCATAAATGCAACATGATTTTTAAAAAGTAACCGTCATTTTTTTTACCTCGGATTGGAAATAAAAATATTTTTCTAAAAGTACAGAACAGACAATGGTATATAAACGATTTGTTTTTTTTTTTTTTTTTTTTTGGAAAGTGGGGGGGCATTTATATAATTTAGACACCTTGGCGATTTAGGTAAATTATACGTAGCCCGACCAGAGGCATATTTGAGGAGACACGACGTGACGATCACCTTCCATTGGATTTTGTTTTTGCTAACAATTCTGACGACAAAATAGAGAATTACTTTAGCAATTTATTCATTTATTTATTTAAGTAGCAATTTATTTCTATTACATATTATTATTAGTTCATCTAGCTTTTTTATACATGCGCTCTAGCGTTTAAACGAAAGATAATTTTCGAATCGGATGCGCTTCGCCCACCAATATTATTATATAAAAGTTACTACACAGAATATATTATTCTATGTATATGGTTGTAGATAAAAAATTATTATCAATATGATAAAATAACAAGTCAAATCCATTTCACAATTATCGATTACACTCCTGAACACACGTGTTTATCAAGGCCTCTAGAGCGTGAAGCGTGGAAAGTTTTCACCGAGGGTCCCCTGCACTTCGCCTCTCGTAATACGTCACCGGGAATAAGGGGAAAATGTTGAAAACAGCATGCGCTCTCTTTGAAACGTAACAAACGCAAAATATTATACATTCACAATTTGAAATAATAAGTCTCGCACGAGAATCATTTCGTTATAAATTATAATAATTTAGAAACGAGTTTTTACCGTCGTCGTTGTGTGTGCACGTTTCCTCCGTACATATTATTATTTATTTTTTTTTATTTCAAGTCGACCGTGTCAAACGCCATTAGGAATATTTCCCGGTAACACGATCCGGTAATAATTTAAATTTAAACGCAACAATATTGTAATATGATAAGAGTATTACGTTTCGAACTCGGTACCTAAACGCGACGGCGCGGCGTAGTGTTGTTCCTGTCTTCTGCCGTGCACAATATCCCGTTACGCCGTTAAAAAACCCCGTTTACATACCGCCGTATTAATATTACAGTGTAATGTATGTATGTTACGTAAATAATTCACAGAAATATTAAGCAAATGGCCGCTGTTCGGGTCCAGCTTCTTCGCGGTGAAACGCAGCGGCGACCAACAGATACTGGCTCTGAACAGGACCGGTGTCCACTTCCTTCATATCGTTACCCACGTGAGCGGAATATTTTTATTTTATTTATTATTTTTTTTTATTTTTTTTTTTTTAATGTTTGCATTTCGACACTTGGACCCAATCGTGTTTAGCCAAATAAACGGTTTTTTTTTTTTACTCTTCTAGAAAACCCTATCGACAGTGCCATTTAGTGAAGTGATATCGACTAGAAAAGTAAGAGCCGGCGAAGGCGCGACACTCTACTTAGAGCTTAAGTGCGGAAATCTGTTCCAACAGCGAGTGGCCAGACTGCAAACCGACCAGGCCCATGAAATCGCCCGGCTCGTCAGACAATACATAACTATGCACCGCCGTGAGTTCTTTTTTAAAATAAATTGTATCACATATAATTGTCCCAAAATTTAATATCGTAATATTAAAACGGGACCCGGATTTCATCGCAGTGCATCTTTTTCGGGGAAGGGAGGAATCCTAGAAAAATGCGTTTCAGATACGTAATTCGATTCGTGTAAAACAAACACTTTGAATGTAACGTTTTTATTTTGCGATTTTTTTTATTTTTAAATGTTTTTTTTTTTCGGTAGGATAATTCAATTCGGGCACAATTCATAATACAATTGTGTATTTGAATATGAAAAATTAATTCTAGAAATTCCGCAAGCTAAGGCAGCTCACGTTGCTGAATTTCATAATTAATTATTAGGACGTGAGAATTATTATGAGTGAGGGGAGATTTCCAAAAGACACGCAAATAGACGTATTAAATGAGACATTTTTATATATTTTTTTTACCGGTAGCTACTGGTAGCAAAACGAATTTTTTTTTTTATATGACCGATTATAACCGATTTTATAATACATGTTGTTTATTTAAATACCTATATTATGTTATTTTTAGATAACGCCGGTGTTCATTGAGAAAACAACTACGTTGACAAAAGCAAAAACATTTTTAGGTTGTGCTCAAAACATAATATTATAATGTAGTGTAGTAATATACTTAACCTAGATTTGTATCAATCGACCGACAGAAAAAAAAAAAAAAAAAACACAGGATACTTATTCATCGTTGACCGATTTATTATCATCGGACACTTCAGAATAACTTTATAATAATTTCTAGAGGAATTATAATAATTTTTTTTTTTTTTAATAAATAGGCCAAATAAAACAGTTAAGACTAATTTACCTACATTATTATTATATTGAATTGATAGAAAAATGATTTTTATAAATTAAACATAATGTATCGTATTATCGTATTAAATGTATTGTAATAATTATTATTATTTAGATTTATTTATTTATTATTATTATTATTATTATTGTCTTTTATTTACGAAAAATAAATCAGTTTATATTGAATGACGTAATATTATATTTATGTATACATATTTTTAAGATAATGTGTTATTTTAATTTTTTTTACCATTTAAATAATAAATCGAAGAGTATAGTAAAACTTTGTTTTGTTTTATACGTTTCACTAAATCCTAAACGTTGCAATTTTATTTTCTGTTTCTTTTTAAAAATGAGCAGTAAGCAGTGTTTTTTCAGGTATTTTGTTCTGTGGGAATCGTTTCAAAATTTCGGACAGAGGAGGGGACGGGGGAAAAAAGTATGAAACAAAGACAAATTCGATGCCATTAGTTTGGTAAAAGTCAATATTGTTATTGTTTAATAAAGGCATATAAAATAAGAACAGCTAAAACCAATTTGTTTAAATTAATTTTGTTCAGCGAGTTGTCTCCGTTGCGTATAAGTCTACGACACTATCCGGCAATTCGTCGGTACTAGGTACCTACTAGGTAGGAATCTAAAGTCCCTCATTATACAATGAAAGGTTCCTGGTAGCATCCTATTTTTGGTCTTAATCAGAATTATATTCATAACACGGAAAGACCTTCCAACCAAAGCCGTTAATCACAAAGACGACGACGGCGTATGGTCACTGAAGCCCGGCTAAGCGGCGGGGTTTCCGCTGGTCAGTGGTCAGGTGACATTCGAAAGATTCGATTATTTAAATGATTGGATAGTTAACATCATAATCATAAAGGTTATCAAAAGGGTTTCGCGTAGGAATAAAAACTTGAATAATACATATTTCCGTAATGTGTAAGTTACGATTAAACAAGCTGGTAAAACATAAGTTTTCTCTAGTTTTGTCTAGGAAGAGGCATTGGATTACACCCGAGGGAGCGCAGCCTCCTGAAAACTTGCCTGAAAGAATCATTGACAATGAGTAAAGTAACAAAATAGATAATTAGTTGTAACAAATTACAAATTCACAAAAAAAGACTGACATAATTCGCACGGTGGGTGGGTCAATATTAGTCTTGTAGGTGAGAATTTAGGAAGGTAGAATAAAGAGGAAAATTTAATATATATCTGCACGCAACGATTAATTATTGTTAACGAAAAAAGATTCTAAGCAGAATTAGGTTCTATATGTTTTAAAAGGCTATAATAATTATGATTTTCATAACAATTTAATGTTAAAAAATTGTTAATACTTTAAAATATTAAAATAAAACCGTAACACTCAATTTTTTTACTTTTTTGAACATTAAGTATAACATATAATGAATCTCCTGTAAAAATTGAAAGTATTTTTATCAGTCTAACAATTGTATCCACAGAGTACCTACAGCATAGAAAATACGTAAAAAACTCTCAAAATTAGAATGTCTATAAAGAACTCAAATATAGCTGAGATTTGACCGCGTCTAGAAATAGCAAATGTACGTTTTCTGTCTGGATTTCAAGTATTTACGAATATTTTTAACTGGAATACAACAAAAAAAAAAAATTGAAAATAATAAACCATTATTCAGAAAAATTGCTTATAAATTTTAAAAAAAAATAACAATAAATGAACTCGTTTTGTTCAGAATCTAAAAATACATATAAAGGGAAAAATATGAGTAACTCAAGCGTAGCGAGAACTAAGATGTTTATATTTTTTATCTTCCTTCTAGCCTGTGGACACGTTATTTCCAAGTTGAACTTTATCTGATATTTCTTTGTAGCAACTTTTCTGAAAGCTCAAGTTATTTAGATTGTACTTTAAACGGATCATTTTTAATTTTCGACGCCATTTTTTAAGTAAAAGCACTTAAATGGGAAAAAATATAGGAAAACGTACATTTCACGATTTTATTATTTTATAAAAACATGGACGACGTTTTCTACTGGATAAAACGATTTAATCGAAAAATTACAAGGTACCTTTTTTGTTGACTTTTTAATTTACTTTCTTACGGTGTCATTGTCAAAACTTTTGAGCCACTTATGTGCATTTACGGAATTTTAATTTTTGGGAGTTTTTTTTTGCTGTAATTCGGTTATAAATACATGTAGAGACTTGAAACTTAGTAATAATACTTATATTGGACTTACCTAGACGTGATCAAATTTAAAAAATCATCGGAAAACCTTTTTTTTTTTTAATAAGCGTTTTGAAATCAAATTTAAACGAAAATCACAAAAAAATAATGATGGCACTTCAAATTATGTATTACCGAACTGCGCTCGGAATCGTCTTTCGTCAAACAATGGTTTATCGTTTCTTACAGATATAAATAAAAAAAACCTTAAGTATCATACCTTCCCGATTTCTCACCTACAACAGTTGCCGCTTCCTTCCCTAGTATCAGTTCTTTTTTATTTTTAATTAATTCGTTATCAATAATTTTAACTTTTTATTTATCGACCTTAATAATTATTACTATTAAATTAGGTACCTACTCGAGTCAGCACATATTTCACAGAAACATTATAATTTAACAAAGTAATTTAGAAAAATGACTATAATAAATAAACACCTACGTAAACATCGTTTTTATAATTTACGTTTTAATTTAGTAAAAATCAATATACTTTTTTTGACGTCTGGATACGATAATTATTAATATACGTACATTTTTTCTCAAGAAATTATTATAAGATTATTTTTTTTTCTATTTCTAATAAAAAACCACAGACATAAAAAGTATCATTCAGTAATTTTGTTATATTTTTTTAGTGTTATCGTAAATATTAGTAACATTGTGCAATAGGTATACTTGCCCCTGGTTATCGATCCGACTATATTTGTATTAAAAACTTTTATAATTAAATTTTATCCGAGACTGAAAAACAAAATTCGATTTTTTTTTTTTTATTCTGAAATATGTTCGCGTGCTGTTTTTGTATAGGAATATTAGTCTACAATTTGGTCTTAGAATTTTATATGATATAGGTTATTGATCATTATAGGTTTGAATATTATGCAGTAGGCTTATAAACTACGAATTATTTTTAAGAACACGGAATATAAAATATATATAATTAATTCAAATTTTCATTTAACTAGAATTACCTACACAAATCAATTAATAATTTTTTTACGAACAGTTAATTAAAAATAATAACGTTTTAGCTGTTATACAGGCCGATTATTCTTTTAAAACGAAAGTATCTTAAATAAAATCATTTAACGTTTCTACAGTGGCAGTAATAAAAAAAAATAATTTATCCACGAAATCTTCATGGATAAAATGCTAGTTCATGCTAAAATAATCGTACGAAACGCATTTTATAAAACGATTTAATGCGTTCGTTTTTTCTGGTCGTTGCGACCATACTAGAATACCACCAGTCATAATAAACCGATACATTTAGGGAAAAATGGTAAGTGGAACTAGGAGGGGGTAAATATTGATATAATATTATTTTAAATTATTATTTTTTAATAATTTAAATTTAATTTTCTAATAAGTTTAAGTGAACGATAAATTTTGATTTTAAATATTTAAAATTAAATGTTCAATATCGTTTTTTTAACATAACATTTTTGACGTTGAAAGTATAACGTTTACAGTCAACTAAAATAATACTGTTTTCTAAACATTTAAAAACTAACTAAAATACAACTTTAATTTATTATTTACCATTGCACAATGTTTGCTGGAATAGGGCGATCCTCATTTACAACGAGCCTAGTAATGTAAATGTTGCTTTCCGCCAATTTTAAAAAATGTTTGATTTCCGGTTTCACAAATATACCTGTTATGGTAAAATTATTATACTTAGTTTTGTTAAAAGAAAACAATTTTCCATTTGCGTGCACCGATGCATAAGCTTCACTTTCTACTGTGTATAAAAAATAATCAGCATAATTATTTTGGTGTAAGTTGGATACTGGGGACGAGTGCGGCCAATGTTATGGGTGCGTAGTTGAGAAGATGAGATACACAAAGTTATTTAATTTATACTTTTGAAAAAGGTAAACCATTGATAACGAAAAACGATTTGGAATGAAGTTCGATTATACATGTTTAGAACGGCCGTAATGTTTAGGATTTTCGTAAAAATTTAAAACTTTTATTGAACTTACTGTCAAATTTTCTAGCATTTCTGTATAGTCGAACAACTTTATCCACAGAGTACTTACCAAATAAAAAACTCACAAAATTTAAATTTCTATAAATAGCTCAAAATGGCTCAAATATTTCGAAAATTTTGCCGCATCTAGAAAAAATAAATATAAGATTTCTGTTAACATTTCAAGTCTACGAATATCTTAACTGAATTAAATTTAAAAAAACAAAATATTTTCCTGTATTTTCTACGTATTACAAATTATGTATTTTCGTACTGCACTCGGAATTGTCTTTCGTCAAGCAATCGTTTATCGTTACTTACAGGTGGAAATAAAATATAAAATAACCTTATATATCCTACTTTCTCAAATTTTCCCCTACATCAGTGGCCGCTCCCATTCCCAGTATCAGCTCATTTTTTTTTCAATCGTTTTGAAAATCTCAAAGGAAAACAAAATTACCTTTCAAAAAAGACGCTACACTATATATCGGAGCAAGATTTTTTTTTTTAACAAGTTGTTAACAGACAGTAAAAAAATGTTTTAATAATAGACA